TTCATGTCTTTTGGACTTTTAAGCATGAAGAGAGGTAATGCCTTGTCTTTATTCATCTTTAAAAGTCAGTATGGCAGCCTTTTTCTTTTTTTGCTGAACAGCAGGATAACAATTCTTCAAATAAATACCTGCTCCCATATGAACTCCTTTTGTGTTAAAATCTTCATTTAAGGCTCTGCTTCAGGTGTTCCTTCTGCCAGAGAGAAGCTGGATAGCTATGGAACCCAATTATGGGACACCCTACTTAGGTTTGTTAGGTGCCTGTTCTGCTTTCTTTTGGGTGAAAATTACAAATGTTTTATTTGCACCAAGTTTTCAGATTTGTTTTTTTTTTAATCTATAAATAAGTTTCTATTATACTGGCTGTTTTGTCTTTTTGTTTTTAATTGCAATATATTATGTTTTTAAGCATAAATTTAAGCCGTCATGGAGGGGGCCCCAGTATTAGTGGAAAGATGTGATAGGTTTTACATTTTAAAAAAAATACCTTAAGCTTTTTTAAAACAAAAAACCAGCTAACCAAACTCATCATAAAAATTGAGTTTTTCATTCTCTATAATATAAAACAAGGACAGATATTACACATTCTTGCCAAAATCAGTATGAATTATATTACATTTAGTAAACCAGTCAGTCCATTTACCAGCACTCCTGATTTTCCAGCTACTTTGGATACCCACCAAACCATTTATATAATTTAAATGTTACAGTTCATGTATGCCCTGTGCAAGTGGAAACTTACTGTGGAAAGGAGCTAAAATGTTCTTAAGGGGTTGTATACAAATGGTGGTCCTATGCTGACAGAAGATTCTTTCATTCAGAACAACAGGGATTGAGGCAATCTTCAGTAATTCCTTTCCTTGCTTTATTTCTGCTTCCAGAGGGTTGTGAGACCCTTTAGAACAGCATGGAGGGAGAAAAATGCTGAAGATCACCTTGATCTGTTCCTGGACACCAACTGGATACAATTCTAGATATGAAGACATGCTGTTGCATATGCATGCATTTTGCAATTGCCTCACAGGTAAGCTTACAATAAAATTAATTGGAGTTCCATGTGCAAAACAGCTGCAAAAGCGGTCCTTCAGATTTTCTAGGCTAGTTTTAGGCATTAGTGTCTTCCCTTTGTTTTAACAGTTTATTTGAAAGATCCAACACCAAGACCTACAAGAGATAATTTCTTATATATCCTCAAAGTTGCCATCATCTTGGTTTTCTTGGTGTGAAATATTAGACCATTTTTCAGAATAACTATGGATTACTAATTTTTAGGAATACAATATCTAATCACCACAAATAAAAGAATAGGGACAGTATGGTAGTCTGAACCCATTTTGGTAACATTTACACAATACTGGGTGTTGAGGAAGGGCAGAATTAGTTATGGTAACAATTATAAATTTAGCACATGGTCTGGACCGAAGTGTGGGGTAATGAATAAAGAACTGAAGTTGGACAAGGAAAAAAATCTAGGTGATATCCAACTACATCTTATTTGGAGCAGACACACTGAAATCAATGGACTTAAGTTACCCAAATCTATTTGCTTCAATGGGTCTAACTCCCAATATGACTAATGTCAGATATTCCCATTCACTTATAAAGCAAATGAGACAGCCTCAGGTTAGCGCTTATTGTTCTGCTTAACCTACTACACAGGGCTGTTGTGAAGATATTGCAATACACCCATGTACATCACCCTGAGCTCCTTGAAGGACAAGACACAGATTTAAACCAAAACCCTCGTTTTCTTCAAATATTATCAATCATACCAACACTGAAAGATTTCAGTTCATTATTATTTGTAGTACTGTACAGCATAAGAGAGCTTTTGGATACAACTCACTGACAGGCAATATACTTATAGCACTGCTTATTATATAACATCAACAGATCACTAATATCAAACTTGCTCCTCAATGCACAACTGCTTGGAAATGAGGACAAGGTTCCTATCTAGAGATGTCAATCTGAAGGGAAAATACATGAATCTGAACTGTTGTGTGAGCATTTATTTTGTTAGCATAGGAAGCATGCAGGGAAGGCTGTGGACATGATCCAGCCAGAATTAGGAACATGTGGGTCCACAACTTTTGGCATTAGAGTGAAGTATATATCTACTTAGGGACGCAGGTGACGCTGTGGGTAAAACCTCAGTGTCTAGGACTTGCCGATCGCATGGTCGGCGGTTCTAATCCCTGCGGCGGGGTGCGCTCCCGTTGCTCGGTCCCAGCACCTGCCAACCTAGCAGTTCGAAAGCACCCCTAAGTGCAAGTAGATAAATAGGGACCGCTTACCAGCGGGAAGGTAAATGGCGTTCCGTGTGCTGCGCTGGCTCGCCAGATGCAGCTTGTCACGCTGGCCACGTGACCTGGAAGTGTCTGTGGACAGCGCTGGCTCCTGGCCTATAGAGTGAGATGAGCGCACAACCCTAGAGTCTGGCAAGGCTGGCCCGTACGGGCAGGGGTACCTTTACCTTTTTATATATCTACTTAAAACAGTCTACTAAAATAGACTGAGATTTTTGTTTCTGTATGCTGTCACTACTATCCTCACACATGCAAACAATTATATATCTATAGATATATAACGATATGTAGACAGATACCTAAAAAGGTTTACAACTAAAATATTTTAAGTGTAAACATAATAAATGTGCAAACATGTATATATATATATAAGCACACTGATTATGATGCTGGGATTAATTTTGCATCTTTTTAAAAAATACATGGCAAGTCTAGGTTTGCCTCTCATAATGTGTGAAATAGTCCTCAATCATACCGAAAATCAGCTGGAGTTGCTCTTAACTAACATTTTCAAGATGGCAACAGTGGAGTAGTACAAGACAGTATGTCAAACCTATCTTAACCAGGAAGTTATGTCAGCATATCTCCTGTGTAAGTTCAGCTTCATCTTGTTTCTAGGAAGGGTATGTGTGGCCAGGTTTGGGCAGGTAGTGTAAACTTGGATTTTCTGCCCATGAATTCCTATGAAATGTTTAAACAAAAAATTTTTTCCTTCCAGTAGCACCTTAAAGACCAACTAAGTTAGTTCTTGGTATGAGCTTCCGTGTGCATGCACACTTCTTCAGATACACACGTTAGCTCATACCAAGAACTAACTTAGTTGGTCTTTAAGGTGCTACTGGAAGGAAAAAAATTTTTGTTTTGACTATGGCAGACCAACACGGCTACCTATCTGTATATGAAATGTTTAGTTACACTTGGTTTTTTGTTGGTGCAAGTTACATGGAGCTCTGTGGACAAGACCAATAAATGAAGAGAGTTAGGATGCAGAGCTAACTTTGTTTGCCCCTCTTCCCAAACCCATTCCCTACCCTTAGCATGCCCTCTTTGTGTCATCTACATCAGTATGACTTCCCTTGGTTTAACTTTTGCCAGCAGGGGAGGGTTAAAAATCACTTACAACTGCTTAAGACCAGCCCATCCCATCCCAGGAGTGGAAATACATCAACTAGATGTTAGGATGTGGCCTACACTCACTCACTCACTCTCTCTCTCTCTCTCTCTCTCTCTGTGTGTGTGTTATAATCACACTATAAGGATGCATCAAAGGGTCACTACACATTTTTATGTCCTCAAAGTCTGCAACTACAGTTCACACTCCACCTTTTATCTCTGCCATATCGTTTCTCATCCCACAGGTATTTTTTATACTCAGTTATGCTAATAACAAATAACATACCAGTTTACACCACCAATAGATTCATATTCTTCCTATTAACAGTATGACACCATACAAACCAGTTAAAAGCAATTTGGATGTTCTCCTCCACTATGCATATGTGAAAGGAATAAACAAAGTATTCCATGCACTGAGGCAATCTTATGTTAGTCAACTGGTGGTCATACAGGTTACAACTGCATTTCAACCTTTCATCACCTGTGAACCGATGCAATGCGCCCACGATTTATTGCTCTTTGACCCACCATTCCCCCCACAGAGTTTCCAGATTTCTGAATGCCTACACACACACAAAAATGGGGAAGTGCGAGGGGAAGCATTGCCAGTTTCACAGTCCCAAATTTCATTTCCTTGTCTTCCTCTACTTTCCAGCCAAAAAAAAAAAAAGTGACAGCGGAAAGCTCTGATGGGTTTGACAAAATGCTGGGGGGAAATTCAACCGCCGCATCCATACCTGCGCTGGTAACCATAACAAGGCTTTTAACTTTTCTCTGGCCTAGTCAGTTTTACCAGAAAGCAGAAGACAAGGGTGGCAGGTTACCTGTGGGACTGAGCTGGAAACCAGTGGCAGGGTTGCCACTTTTAGAAGACATCTGAAGGCAGCCCTGTTTAGGGGAAGTTTTTAATGTTTGATGTTTTATTGTGTTTTTAATATTCTGTTGGGAGCTGCCAGAGTGGCTGGGGAAACACAAGCAGATGGGCGGTGTATAAATAATAATAATAATATTACATGGGCCAGCATCTGAGCCAGGGAAGTGGTGTGTGCTACTTATTTCACCCCCAGCACAAGCTGGAGAGAGCATGTTGACATTTGAGAGCAGCAAAAGCACAGCTTGAGGAGGGCAGTGACGTGCATTCCCCACCCCCCGAAAGGGGCAGATTCACACGTATGGTGGTTAACACGCTACAAATTCAGGCGTGACTCTGGGCCTCTTGGGTGGGCCTACACGGGCACCAGAGAGGATCAGATGGAGCTGGCAGGCCTAGCTTGATCCCCTTCCCCCTTTCTCATCATTTCTTCCTTCCCCAACCTCCAACCCCATTCCCCTCAGATGGGGGTCACTCCCCACTGGGGGACCCCTCCCCTCCCCAGAAATTTCCTTTCCCCCCCCATGGGAAATGAACGATGCCCGAGGAAACGAGGCAACATCGCTGCTTCCCCGAGACCCCGGAGAGAAAGAAAAACGGAGGCGAGGGAAGGAAAACCGAAAGGGATGTAGCCTCCCAAATCTCTCCCCCACCCCCAATAAACGCCACGACCGAGGAGGGCGACAAGGGAGGGAAAGGCTGACCTCCTCGCTCTTCAGCACCTCCTTGAACTCCCGCTTGATCCTCTGCACCGCGATGTTGGCCATGTCCTCGGAGGGGTCCGACGACCCGCCCAACCCCAGGCCGCTGCCGCCGCCGCCGAGCCGGGCCGAGCTCCTCCACCCGCCGCCGCCACCGCTGCTCCCGCGGGTTAATCTCCCGGCCCTTCCAAAATGGCGCCGGCGCCGAGCATGCGCGTTGGCCGCCGCCGCCGCCCGGCCGCCTGCCCCTTCCTCTCCGTCAGAGAAAGGAAAATGGAGAGGGGAGGGGAATAGGAAAGGACGCGGGGGGGGGGAACCGCTGCTTCGGGCCCCCGCCAAAAGTGTGGAGAAGGGGGAGGCAAAATGAGAGGAGAAAAAATGGAGGAGAGGTTCTCCTGTCAGACGGTGGTTTCGCCCCTCAGGGAGAGGGGAGGCCTTCGCCCACCTCGCCTCAGGAGGGGTCGTCGGCGACCTCCGCCCTTGGCCGTCACTGACTATGAGGCAGAACCGCCTTTTCTGTGTGTGTGTGTGGTACGTAGGTCCGTACGTGTGAATGCGGAGCGTCTGGAGCGGAGGCGCGGCCTTCTCGGTGGTGGCGCCTTTTCCTTGCGCGACGGCCCTCCCTTCAAGAGGCTGAGACGGGAGAGCTACACAACTTCCCCGTCTTGGGAAGGCATCGATTTCTTAGGATGTTTTTAAATAATAATACACGTGCTGTAAGCCGCCCAGAGCAGCTGGGGAAAACTAGCCAGATGGGCAGGGTACAACAACAACAATAATAATAATAATAACAACAACAATAATAATAATAATAATAGCAGCAGGAAGGGTGAGGAGTAGGGGAGAGCTTTTTTAATTATAATTTTATTACTTTTCAGTTACAATCTAATTAAGAGCCCCATTATAACAATACCAATTTATAATACAATTATTAATACCAATCATTCAAATGCTGAATTATATAATTTAGAGAAGGTGCTAGAATTGATGGCTGGATTATTTGCTTTATTTCTGCGTTCCAAAATCTTATTAATTTCCACAACATTCCGGTCATCATAATAATAATCCCTTATACAACAGCTGCATTATTAATAACTTCTATTCATGTTGACACCTTAAATGATTTATAAAGCTACAAGGGAGGAACTCAAACTATATCCTTGTTCTTCCTGTGTGTGGCAATTATTCTGTCCGAGGTGTTTCTTCCTGTCCTTGTAAGATGTTACGTCTTTCTTTCCCCCTTGTAAGATGTTAGGTCTTTCTTTCCATCTGTCATGCCTTGGGCAAAGCTGATACCCTATTGTTGTTTCAAGGCAGAGCTAAGGCCCTTGTGATGAAATCACACCCATCGTATGAGTATCACACCACGCCTACCTGCTCCTTCACACAAACACAACCTTCGCACGCACCAGCCTGTGTGGCGGGTGGATCGTACACAACACATTGTCCACCTTCCGTTTTAATTTATAATCATCATCATCATTTCATTATTTGTACCCCACCCATCTGACTAGGTTTCCCCAGCCGTTCTTGGTGGCTTACAGCATATCTGAAAACATAATGAAACATCAATGCCTTCCCAAGACAGTGAAGATGGCTTGTCAAAGTCGTGCAGTTCTCCTTGGGCAACTTTTCTGGCCTTCAAGTCGCCGCAGATTGATGGGAAAGGTCTCCGTTTTGGACACTCCACATGGAGAGGTCTGAGGTGTACGGGAGACGGCAGAATTGCTCAGGGGACGCTTTCCAAAATGGGGCACCAGGATGTGAGTGCGGTAGGACGCTGAGTCGAGCTGCCGCATTGTGGAGGCAGTACAGTATTTTGTAAGCATTTCCACTCCCCAGAATGTCAATAGCATTCAGCATGAAGCGTGTTCCATGTACACAGCTCTTGTAGCATGTGGGACATCAAAAATTAGAAATAAAATAATGCCTCCTTCCCCACAGACCCTCCCAGATCAGCAGAAGGGGCACTGGGGTAGTAGCAATTTCTTTCACGAGTTTGTGGTGGCAGCAGCCCAGAATATGCCTTTCTCTGCAGCAGCCCCTAAGTTGTGAAATTCCCTCCCCATAGGTGTGTCTGACTTCTTCACTTACAACTTTTGGAGAATCCTGAAGATGCCCCTCTTAACCATGCCTTTTGACACCTGAGATGTGCACTTTCAGAGTCCACCCTATTCTTGTGACTGTACAAACAGGTTTTCATCTGACTTTCAAATTGTTGTAGCCCACCCTGTGACCTGCTGTAATACACGTATTAATTACAATAATATTGGGGCCATTGGACATGGGATGCTGAAGAGAGAAATATTTTGTCCTTCAGAGCAGTGGCTACAGCTGGATGGCCTTCTGAGGAGTTCCAGTCTGTTATTATTACTTATCTATTTGATTTATTAATCACTTAATACCTAATAGTCTAAAAAAACAAAAGTACTTGGTTTTCTTACAAAAAGGATAATGCAGTCTTTGGGTTAGCAAAGATGCAGGCTTGAAAATCTCCCTTTGGAGAGATTTTGTACCATTTGCTGAGTTGGGAGTCAGGCCACATGGCTCTTTTGCTTGCACAAAAAGAAAAGACTGAGAAGAAGCAGGAGCAGGAGCTGCTGAGAGCCTGCTAATATACACCCATGCCGGCAACTTGAGCTCAGGGCTCAGGTTAACCGTTTCATGCACACAAGTGTGAGGCAGTAACTGTATATTACAACAGAAAGTAACCTGGACATGGGGACAGTAGAGAGGAGAGATGGAGCAATACAAATGCAATACTATTGCATGTTTACTGAAAAATAAATAACACTATGGTGCTTCCTCCATAGATAGGGCTTTTAGGACTGCAGCATAAGTCAGATATGAGGCCATATGGCAAAAGGCAGGCTCCAGGGAAAGTACCTGAATAAAAGCAGTAAAAGGCATTGATGCAACCTGAAAACTGTACACCATATTCAGATCCTTATTTGAATGTATGCTACCACCTCCCATGTTCCATCGTAAGACTCTTAAAAGCTACAGAATCATGGTTTTACATGTGGGAAGGAAAATAATAATAGATATAGAAGATTACCCATGTGGGGTAATTAATAAAAGAACTGGCCGGATCCCTAGATCCAAAGCATGGGGCTAATCATGGGGCTAAACTCTCCAGCAAGAGAGAGCTCCCAGCAGAATATTAAAATCACAGAATCATGCAGCACAGGGAAGTGTGAGCAATATAGACTGTTAGACCCTTTAAATATCTTGTTCAGTTTGCTCACATTGCTTCCCCTTTCTACCCTGCTTGCAACTAATACTGGAGAAGAGAGGGTTAAAGAGTTTCTGACCTATGATTAAAGGTAAAGGTACCCCTGCCCATACTGGCCAGTCTTGACAGACTCTAGGGTTGTGCACCCGTCTCACTTAAGAGGCCGGGGGCCAGCGCTGTCCGGAGACACTTCCGGGTCACGTGGCCAGTGTGACAAAGCTGCATCTGGCTAGCCAGCGCAGCACACGGAAACGCCGTTTACCTTCCCGCCAGTAAGCGGTCCCTATTTATCTACTTGCACCCGGGGGTGCTTTCGAACTGCTAGGTTGGCAGGCGCTGGGACCGAGCAACGGGAGCGCACCCCGCCGCGGGGATTCGAACCGCCGACCTTTCGATCGGCAAGCCCTAGGCGCTGAAGCTTTTACCCACAGCGCCACCCGCGTCCACCTATGATTACTCAGTTTTAAAAAGAATGATCCTGTTAAAATTGAGTTACTGATGAGAGATAAATGGAAGACATGCACATTCTTAGACTACAGTGGTACCTTGGGTTACATACGCTTCAGGTTACATATGCTTCAGGTTACAGACTCCGCTAACCCAGAAATATTACCTCGGGTTAAGAACTTTGCTTCAGGATGAGAACAGAAATCGTGCTCCGGCAGCGCGGCAGCAGCAGGAGGCCCCATTAGCTAAAGTGGTGGTTCAGGTTAAGAACAGTTTCAGGTTAAGAACGGACCTCCGGAACGAATTAAGTACTTAACCCGAGGTACCACTGTAATCACTTAGACACAATATTCAAAATATGTCGTAATTCTTATAGCATTTGTGGATCTGCTTACAATGAAACATGTTAGTATGAACTGCTTTCGCTACCTAGTTACTGAATTCTGATTAAATTGCAGAAATAAGCACATTAGTGTGATCTCACATTTCAGACAATAGCACCTCTCAATTTTCCTCCCTCCTTCCTTATCTCTTGATATGTGTAGCTTGCTTTATAAATGTTACCTGTTTCTCTGTACACAGGTTGAAAAGTTGGTGTTACAGTGCCTTCTGCAGGATGGAATACAGTATGTCAAATTAAATCTGCCATTGACTAAGCAACTCCAGTAAGGAATATTCACAGTAAGACTTCTCACTCTTCAGATTTTTTTTCCTAGAGCAAATTGAAAGTGTTATTTAACTGTATTAAATATTAAAGCCAGGATATTAACCAGATGACAATTTCCAAGCCTCAGCAGGTTTCAGGCTTTGAATTTACAATGCCAATGATCAATCCTAGATTTGGTAATTTTCGATATTATGCATATTCTCTCTCCAGCTAAACAAATAGCAGTTTTTTTTTAAAGTGATTTTTTTTTAAAGCATCAGTTGCAGCAGGAATAAAAGAATGCATGGGAAAACAGGGTGACTTTGCCAGATACCTAAAAGATAATAGTAATGATGGCACCAGGTGAATTTGCGTGGGGAGGGAATTTCACAACTGGGCAGCACCAGGTTTTTTAAATACAGTGGTACCTCAGTTTTCAAGCGTCTTGGAAGCTGAACGTTTTGGTTTTCGAACGAACGCCAAAAACCCATGCATCTGTTTTTGAACATGCCTCAGAAGTTGAACGACTTCTGCTGCGTTTTTTTAAAATTTTCTCCACTGAAATTGCAGACCGCCTCTGTGGCTCGGTTTTCGAACGTTTTGGAAGCCGGAACGGATTACATTTGAAAACCGAGGTAACATTGTATATATATTATATTCATCATTTCTATGCCCTCTCCCATGATGTCAGTTTTCTTAATGGCCCCCCCTCTGACCGTTTGTCCATTAAACAATAAATTTTAAATTATAATGCCATGATGTAGACTTCGGGTCACATTAACTAGGTTTTCCTCCCATACTTTCTTGCAGCAGGAAGGGAAGCAGGCTGGCCAATGGATGGGACTAGGCTGGTCTTCACCTTGCCATTGTCTTCTTTCTGGGAAGGCATGGGATACAGCACCCTAGTGTCCTTTGGTCCCCTGGCCAATAGCAGAGGGCCTCCATGCTCTTCCCATCAGCTGTGCCAACAAACAATAATACATTTTAACTTGGCAAAATACTAAATTCAGAGAAGAGTTGGAGATGTTGCTGGATTACAACTTCCATTCTGCTGGGAATTCCATAGTTAAGGGTCGCCAGCACCCCCAAACTCCCAAGGGTGATGGAACTACCAAGAGGGCCCCTCTACTGATCTTAACGTTCAAGACAGTAGGAAAGGAGGCAGTGTTTCATATATTTGGGACTTTAGCTATTTAGGGCTATAAACACAAACAAGAGCACATTGAATTGCACCTGGAAATGAACCAGCAACCATGCCCCTGTTTTAGACAGTGGGTTAAAAGGTAAAGGGACCCCTGACCATTAGGTCCAGTCGTGGCTGACTCTGGGGCTGCTGTACTCATCTCGCTTTATTGGCCGAGGGAGCCGGCGTACAGCTTCCGGGTCATGTGGCCAGCATGACTAAGCCGCTTCTGGCGAACCAGAGCAGCACACGGAAACGCCGTTTACCTTCCCGCTGGAGCGGTACCTATTTATCTACTTGCACTTTGATGTGCTTTCGAACTGCTAGGTTGGCAGGAGCAGGGACCGAGCAACAGGAGCTCACTCCGTCGCAGGGATTTGAACCGCCAACCTTCTGATACGCAAGTCCTAGGCTCTGCGGTTCTAAAAGGAACCCCAGCGGGGAATCTGCATGCTGTGTTTTTGGACCAGTTGAGCTTCTGCGTGGTCTTCAAGAACAGACCCATGTAGACTGTGTTACCATAATCCAATCTGGAAGTTACCAGAAAATGGAGTGCTAACCTAAGTCCATTTATGACCTAGCAGAAAACATTACTATCTTATCAATACCAAGTTATTGATTCAAAGTTCTTTTCTCATTTGTAAAGTCATATTCATTCTAAGGGACTTACACGCCACTTTAAAAATTGGCTATTGTGCCATTTTTGCCATTTCAGGATAATCCAATCCACTTAATCTGCCATTCTTCTCTGGTCAGGACTTTATCTTCTTTCCATCTCTAGCAAAAAAGACTGCAAGAATCAGAGGTCAGGAAGACCAAAACCTTAATAAAGAATGGGGAAATTTTATGCTTATCTTAAAAACCACAGTAAACAGTTAAAATCGTTAGTAGGATTGGATTAACACTTGTAGTTTAATGGTGAATTTTGGATATAATGGAGATGCAAAAGATCGGATTATAAAAGTTGCAGGAGGAAATGACTAACAATAGGACCCACAAAGGGGACTAGGGAAGTCCAGGAGATTCTTTGGAATCTTGTTTTTATGTTGTATGTTGGATATGTGATTGCAAAACTTTAATTTGAAAAGCCAAATATATAGAGAGCGAGAGCCGCTTAATCTCAGGGTTGTGGGTTCCAGCCCGTCGGGCAAAGAGTTTCCTGCATGGCGGGGGGGTGGTGGACTAGATTACCCCCCCCCCAGGGGTCCCTTCGGACTCTACAAGTCAATGGAGGGTGCGCGTGCAACCGCAGCCTTAGTTTTCCGCCGCACGATTCGGCGCTTGTCGCTTTCCTCTTGGGCGGCCGCCGAGGGGTGCGGCCCGTGCGCCCGCGATCCCCACGGGAGACAAGGGGAGGGTGCAGAAGAAGCCCTCCCCTTGCCTGCGAGCCGGCAGATCCGGGTCTTGCAGCGCTGCCTGCTAGACTGACGTGGTCGACGGAATCAAAACACCAGGCGAAAGGGAGAGTCGCTCCGCAGCTGCGCTGGCTGGCGTCTTGGGGCTGCGCCTCTTGCTCTCCAGATCCGAGCAAACCCGGTGAGTTGTTTGTGGCTGCCTCTCGGCATTCCAGCCTCAAGCTGTTTTTTTTCTCTCCTTTCCCCTTCTTCTCCCTCCCAGGCTTGTCCTTCTTTTAATGGAGGAAGAAGGCGAAAGGAGGCAAGGAAAAGGAAAAGTTTCCCACCCCGGTTCTCTCTTCTGCTTTGGGGATGGGAGGCAAAACAACAAAGTTTCTGGGAAAAGACTGCCCCTTGTTCCCTACTGCTGCTTTTTGCTTATTCTGGATCTTTGCAAGTATTTAAAACCCGCAAAATATGCAAGCCCTGCGCTGATTTCCTGGCGGGAGGGGGGGTCATTTAAAACCGGATCTCTCCCTGTAAAAAGCCTGTTGCTGATCCTCCCTGTGCCAAAGGAGCCCCACCGACTTTGCTTTGGTGAGAGGCCAGCTGTGATAAAGAAGGAGAGCCGTTTGCTCGCTGGGGCTGGCGAAGCTTTTGTTTTTGGTCTTGCAGCCGAGCAGAACTGCACACCTGATTTATACAGATTTGGTTTTGTTCCTGAACAAACGTTTTCATATTTCTTAGGAGATGCATGATGCTGAACTCAAGGCAAGTTAAATTTCCAAGTGTGTGCAGAAGTTTAGGTTGTGAGCTGGGTACACCTACCACCTTGGTGGCTTTTATGGCGTGGAGCGGTCTATAAATTTATTTAACAAATAAAACAGTTAAAATTTAGTAAAGGCGGTGCCCTCAAACCCTTGTAAGCTAAACCATGCACATATTTACACAAGCTACGTGGAGTTAAGTGACTGACTTCCAGGTTAGCAGCATACATGGGCACTTTTGTGGGAGTAAACTTCATTAAGCTCAATAGGACTTGCTTCTGAGTAAACAAGTATAGGACTGAGAAGCACATTAACTGGATCAGTTTTATATTATTCCTCTCTTTCTCTTGTTCCTTAATAAGCCAGGTCACACTGTGTTGACTTTTGAGTTAAAACATCAGCTTCCTCAATCTTTATAAAGAAATGTTTCCTGTTCATAATGGAATAGGGATCCCTGGAACAGACAACAGATGCCCCAGAAGCTATTACATTCTCAAGAGAGAGCCTTGGGAGAAGGCTAGCAATGACACTGTAATGCCAACCAATACTGAACATGGATGCTTTTAATTCTTATTTTTTTAAAAAGTTAGGACTTCGGTCCTAAACATATTACTTGGTATTATTTGGCTAACTGGGCTTACCTTTAATACTAAAACATGCTGGCTTCAGACTTCCTGTGCAAGGAGAAAAGATGAGGATCCAGCAATTACAGATAGACTATTGGCAAAAAGTAAGATAGTTGTTCTTTAACATCAACAGTGTACTTGTTTCATGTTATTAGTGTGAAGTGAGTATTCTGAAATATCCTGAAAAAGGTATGACTCTTTTCCTGAGTGTGCTTTCACGGTGTTGTAGAGTTGCATGTTTATCATCCTACTGTTGTAATTTTCCTGCTTTTCAGAATGCTCTATGCTTAACTAATGATTTTATTTTAATTACCATTATGATGTCAATTTCCTGGCTTTCACTGACCTGCACCTTACCCAGTGACTTTATTAGACGTTCAGGAGGATCAGTCTGACACTTTTTACATGTGCATTGCTTTGAAGAAATGTAGGTTACTAAATAAATGTAAATAAATAAACAGCCAGAAGGGTCTCTGTCAATTATATTAAAGGTTGCAAAAGTTCATATGGGTGGTCCTTTTAAAAAAAATAAAAAAATAAAACTTAGTAAGCTTTACAGAACATACAGAAAGTGGGAAAATAAAAATTTGAAGAACCTAGGACCATGGGACATATAACAATATCCCAAGAAGGCCGTCCTTCTGCTATCCTGGTTTCAATGACTTAGGTCACAAACTAAGATTGGGAAGATCTGGGTTCAGATTCTTGCTTAGCCGTGAAGCTTGCTGAGTCACCTTTGGCCAGTCCCTATTTTCAAGGCTAATCTAAGGGTGGTTCTGAGGATAAAATGGTTGAAGTCATGTACATTACCCTGAACTGCTAGACAGGTCACCAGCCTTTTTTGGACTCATGGGCCTGTTTGTAATTTAGAGAGTCCTCCCCTGGTTGCTCCTCTCTCCTGCTCTCCTTGGATCAGTGGGTGGCCTCTGTGCTTGGAGAAATGAAAAAACAAAAAGTATCTGGGAACATCATGATTTTCTTTATTCTGCTAGGTAAGTTTGTTAGCAGACAGGCTGGACAAACTGTCTTTTTGCTAGGTTCTTGTTTATATTACAGTGGTACCTCGGGTTACATACGCTTCAGGTTACAGACTCCGCTAACCCAGAAATAGCACCTCAGGTTAAGAACTTTGCTTCAGGATGAGAACAGAAATCGTGCTACGGTGGCAGCAGGAGGCCCCATTAGCTAAAGTGGTGCTTCAGGTTAAGAACGGACCTCCGGAACGAATTAAGTACTTAACCCGAGGTACCACTGTACTGTACTGATTTGCAATAACTGGAGGTATGGAATAAGGCCAGAAGGTCCAGCAGTGGAAGAAATAGGTTTGCTCTATTACTATGCATTCTTAAATGCAAACCAGATCCACTTAAAAGGGTTTAAAAAAATCCCGTCGGCATTATTGACTCCCAACTGGTAATGAATTTGGGAGCAATCTTCACCCCTAAACAGCAAGACTTTGTGGAGGGGGGCAGGCACCACTGCATCCACAGAACTGCCGGTTGCGTTGGCCAGAGCAGAAGGGAGGATAGGCGGGAAGTGCCTCTTCACTACACCACCAGTGGTGGGTGGAAGCATGCAAGGGACACATGTTATCTGATGCAAGGTGATGTGTTCATGCCTATCTTTTTTAAGATTATTAAAACTGTTGTGCCTTGCACCGGCAGTTGTAATTCCGCTGCACAGTTAAGTCACCTTAATGGCTTTATTTGGTACAGGTGTTGTGAATGTAAAATCATTTTACCATTGATAACGTGCTAGTGCAATGACTATAAGATCTTGCTTCCAGTGGAAGTGGACGTTATTCCTTGTGAAATATCCATTGCATCATACTTGCAGATTTGGGCTGGGGGAGCTGTGGCCTTTCAGATGTTTCCTGATTGCAACTTGCATTGTCCCTGACTGTTGGCTATGCTGGTTGGGGCTGATGGGATTGGTACTTCATCAACATCTGGAGGACCACAAATCTCCATCTCTGTTGTAGATGAACCTGTGATCTATAACCAGCCAGGAATCCATAATCTGAGTTATGAGTGTAAGGAGTTGCCTACTTCACATTATCTTTATTTTCATTAAAAAACAGAGCCCAAAGTGTTTTGTTCTATCTGCAGTGTTTAGATTTAAAAAACCCATTAGGACTTCAGTCCTGAACTGACCCTAGTGGAGTTTTAGCAGCCTATGTTAAGATTTGCAACCATGACATAAATATATTTTGGCATACTTTTATTTTGCAAGGTAGTAAAAATATAAGTGTTATGTAATACTGCTCAGTATGCACTTGTCTGCATTTGCATTTTCTTAACCACAACATACTGTTTTTAATTAAGGTTAAATGTTCTTTCTTACTGAAAATTTCTCATTTCCTACTTTCGTATATATATTTAGAGGCAAAAAGCAGCAGAGGGTGTCAGTGCTTTAGTATTTTGCATTAGTGACTTGTGGCAGCCACCAGTGATGTTCTGTGTTTGTGGCTTTCAAAGAGGTTTCATAATAAGAAGACCAGTAGTGGCAGACAAGCTGCCCAAATGAAAGTTTGCCTTCTACTTTCAAACACCCCCTGCAATGTTTTGGGTGTATTTTAGGGCAGATTCTCAGTTTATATGGGGTAAGAGTGAGATCCAAGTGGGCCTAGGCTAGCCTTCCAAAGCTGGTGCCCTCCAGTTGTTTTTGGGTTACAAATCCCATCATCTGTGACAGTTGGCTGGAGCTGATGAGAGCCAAAGGGCACCAGTTTGGGGAAGAGTGGCCTGGTACTCAAGTGATAGGACTGTGGTCCCTAGACCATGCTGCAGAATCCTCTGAAATGTCCAGGAGTTTTGTGACAGTCAGGGTATTCTCTGAAAACTAGCCCATATGAAAAGTGTTCCATGAAGGTAGGAAGTATGAAAATATTTGGAACATCTCTGAACATCTCTGCCTCCTTCATGTATAGAAAGTCTGGGGTAGGGCTGAGGAGCCTCATGACCTCGAGGGTAGGACCACTGGAAGGATCTCACAGCCCCTTTCTGTGCACGATGCCTCTTTGTGTGATTCACATAGCCACTGAGTTAAAAGTGGTAAAGTAAAAGTAAACTTGATCAGATGGTGTGTCTTAGATTTAGCCTGCAATCCCATACACACTTGTTTGAGAATTAAGTCCCACTGACCTAAATAAAACTTACTTCTGAGTGCAATATGTATAGGATTGACACAGTCTGTCATTTTAAGAACACTAAAATATTTTGACATGTAAGAGATTACACATTAGATCAAAACACATACACACACACACACACACACACACACTTGCAAGCTGAACTTCTCAGAATTCAGAGAACATCCTTGGTCTCCTTGATAAATGATTGTTGTCTGGGGGTGCTTCTTATTTACCCGGACAGCACCCATCAAATCTGCCTTTTTGCCGGCACTAGTGTAATTATGTTTTCAGTCCTGGCAGAACATTGTGTTTTGGTACATTGCGTTGCTGATACGTCCCATCCTAAGCACTTCCATGATAACCCCGCACATATTTAGAACTGGCCTGTTAATTCTGTACATTGCAGCCTACCAGGGAAGATGATTGTATCGCTACACTTTGAAAAATGATTTGATGTTAAAATATTTTCTGAAGATTGGGCTGAATGTAATACAGCCAGTGTGGTGTAGTGGTTAAGAGCGGTAGACCCATAATCTGTGGAACTGGGTTTGCGTCTCGGCTCCTCCACATGCAGCTGCTGGGTGACCTTGGGCCAGTCACAATTCTCTGAAGTCTCTCAGCCCCACTCACTCACAGAGTGTTTGTTGTGGGGGAGGAAGGGAAAGGAGAACGTTAGCCGCTGTGAGACTCCTTCGGGTAGTGATAAGAGGGATATCAAAGCCAAACTCTTCTTCTGACTAACATAAGGAGTTGAGACGTGGGCTACGCACTTCAAATCAGTTCTACCGATGGCACTCTGAAGCAAAGTCCCAAAGTAGGGTTTGCAGTAGCAGGGCTCGCCCTACCATTGGAAAGATTAAGATGTTTTGACCTTTAAAGCTCTATGTGGCCTAGGACCTACATACCTACGGGACCGCCTCTCCTGGTATGCCCCACAAAGGACCTTAAGGTCCACAAATGACAACGTTTTGGAGGTCCCAAGTCACAAGGTGGTTAGGTTGGTCTCAACTAGGGCCAGGTCCTTTTCAGTACTGATCCCGACTTGGTGGAATGCTCTGTCACAAGAGACTAGGGCCCTGTGGGACTTGACATCTTTCCGCAGGGCCTGCAAGACAGAGCTGTTCCGCCTGGCCTTTGGTTTGGACTCAGACTGACCCTTATGTTTCCCTCTCCTTACAGTTTTGACTTTTAAAATGAGGCTGCCTTTTAAATTGCATTTTAACCTGTATTTTAAATTGTGTTTTTTTTCTTTTTCTTTTTTTCTTACTATGTTTTTACTGAAATTTTATTGGTGTTAGCCGCCCTGAGCCAGGCTCTGGCCAGGGAGGGCAGGGTAAAAATAAAATTTATTATTATTAGTCAACCAATTTTGTGCATCATTAAATTGTGTTTTTACTGTCATGAAAGTGGGGAGCCATTTTCTGCCTCATTGTGTGAAGACCAGCCTTGGGTACTGTTGTGGTGAGGGGAGGCGTTTGTTTCTCTGTTCTTGGAGCAAAATGTTTTGTGCTGGGCCTGGGAAATCCATGTTTATGGATAGTTGCACTGGGCTGTAATCAAATGTGCCCCTGAAAGGTTGGTTCTCACTTGGTCCCTCCCATATTACATCACTTGTTAATGCAGGGGTGAGGAACCTCTTGTAGCTGGTGGGCCAGATCCTTATCTCCCCCCCCTCCGAGTTCTGGCAGGTCATTTTGATAGGTAGGTGAGGTCAGAGGTCCCCCACCACTGTATTAGGGTCTCATAATTCTTATAGTACAGTGGTACCTCTGGTTACGTACTTAATTCATTCCGGAGGTCCGTTCTTAACCTGAAACTGTTCTTAACCTGAAGCACCACTTTAGCTAATGGGGCCTCCCGCTGCTGCTGCGCCGCTGCCACCGCGCGATTTCTGTTCTCATCCTGAAGCAAAGTTCTTAACCTGAGGTACTAATTCTGGGTTAGCGGAGTCTGTAACCTGAAGCGCATGTAACCCAAGGTACCAGTGTACTCCCACAAGACATGGAAGAATAGTTGATGCAAGTCCTAGAAAGTTCTTAATCTGGATCCAACCCATCAGTGCTCTAATTTAGTTTTACTTGGTCATGAATAATTTTTCCAGTTGATTTCAGTGGAACCCAAATTCAACTGACTTAATCTGGAGCCAACCTTTCACTTTTCCCTGTGAAACATGGAACACCAAGATGGACTTTTGGGCTATGGGTATTCAAACTTGCCTCATAAAGGTAGAAGAGGCAGCTTGGTAGAAGCAGCTAAAACGTAGTCTGAAAATGTATCAAAGGGTGTGGGTCTTTCCCGCTGCATACACAGTTTTACATGGCATTTAGGAACCTATTTATTGCACTGTGCAAGCTAGTAAATATATAGGATACCGGGCTTGCCTTGGTTATTGGCCATTTGCATTTGAAACGTCAGTGATTTACTGGTAATGTGGTGGGAGCTTTAGATTTGTGCACGCTTCAGCACCCACTCAAAATGAGCAAATTGTCATAGTGAGACGTGGAACTGGGCATTTCTCAAAATGCCACTAACTTGTCTGACAGGTTTTTGTGAATTGGCTTATAAAAATGACAAACTTCACTGTGCAAAGAAGTATTCACTTACGGAATATTTTTTAAAGAACCCCATAGCTTAACAATTGCTGGACTAGTATTTTTAGTCAATTATACTGTATTTAAAGGTAAATGGACCCCTGACCATTAGGTCCAGTCGTGGCCGACTCTGGGGTTGCGGCGCTCATCTCGCTTTACTGGCAGAGGGAGCCAGCGTACAGCTTCCGGGTCATGTGGCCAGCATGACTAAGCCGCTTCTGGCGAACCAGAGCAGCGCACGGAAACACCGTTTGTCTTCCCGCCGGAGCGGTACCTATTTATCTACTTGCACTTTGATGTGCTTTCGAACTGCTAGGTTGGCAGGAGCAAGGACCGAACAATGGGAGCTCACCCCGTCGCAGGGATTCGAACCGCCGACCTCCTGATCAGCAAGTCCTAGGCTCTGTGGTTTAACCCGCATCCCTTAATACTGTATTTACAAATTAGTAAATAAAACAGATATAGGGTTGTATCCAATGCAGACTCGGTGGAAATAGAACAGACTTCTGCAGTGGGACTTCACCTTCTTTTTCCTTTCAGCTCAAAACCTGCGCCTGAGGATTGGCGGCTATAGCAGATTTTGGAGGGGTGCAGAGGTCGGCAGTGTAGAGAAAAGGAAGGTAAAGTTCCATTGCACAAATTGAAATCCATTTTACTTATTAATACTTGTACTGATGACGTTGGATTGCTTCTAACTATTTTTACCATATGTCACCTGGGCATTAACATATGGCAGCTAAAAATATAATAAAGATTAAGTAAACAATTTTTCTGTAAGTAAACTCAATGCAAGAGTACAGTAGTGAGCCAGTGACATGCATTGAATCACACCCATTGCTAATATTGGTACTTATCAAACAATTAACCTTTGAACTGTGTGATGTTACAAAAGGCTCTTTTAAATTTGTACATTTTCGTGCAACCCAGAAAGCACAATTTTGACATTTTGGTTTTGTAAACCTGTGCATTTTAATTGCTGCATCATAAAAATGGTGCCCACGTTGCGTTACATCTCCTGCCCCCCCCTCGTCCCAATTTGAACTTTGCTGTAGTTCCTGTATAGTGTTACACCAGTCAAACAGGTGTAACTAGCAGGTAGGTTCCAGTAAACGATTTGAGTTGCAATACTAGAAACCAATTAATACAGGAACTGTACCCATTAAATAGGTACAACCAGAAAGAAGTGTTCTTGTCCTTTTATAATGTTTCTGAGGGTTGTGAAGGTCATATGATTTACTCGTGCTTTTTGCAACACATTTACTCGTGCTTTTTGCCCCATCATATGGGGTAATATATGGCATCATTATGCTTCCAGATGAACTCCCACGTGAAATCTTGAAAACGCAATAGCAACTTGTGCTCCTTCTGCATGAATGCTTGTCACTAAGATATTATATCATCAAAAAACTCATCCAATTTGACTTACATAAACTTGCCAGTAAACTGGATTGTACCTGTCTCCAATAAATTAAGTAGAGGTGCATTAGAGAACTGGTAGGTCTTGGGCCAGGGCACATCATTATCATATCTAAAAATCTGTATTGTACAATTTTTGAAAGCAGGATTTAATGTTCCACCAATTTAGTGGTGATGGGGGAATTTCACTGCCTTTCAAAACCCTTCCGTTGACATCTACTTTTCTAAATCTGTTTTTTTTTTAAAATAAAAAATAAAGGACCGTTCAGTGATTCCCCTACCTGAGTGATAAAGGTCTAGGAATGGTTTTATCATGTGATCTGCTTGGTGAGGCTTAGGAAACAATGCCAAGTGTGGACTATATGAAGAAGCTATAAAGATAGGACTCATAGACTCCGTTGCCAGCAGGCCACTCCTACTGAGCTGAATTGAACAAGTGTAAATGTGCTCCAGAAACCGTGCATTGTTGTCCACTATGTATCTCTCCCCACCCACCTTGGGTATCAAGCAAAGGTTTATCAAGCCTCTGGTGGGTTTCCATTCGTAGCTGTAGGTTGTATTCCAATTAGTGTTTCACATTGTGTGTGCGCTTGTGCCAGAATGCCAATTCATCTAGTCCAGTACTGCAGATTTAAAGAGGTTTAAAGACTGTCTCAAGCCAAATCTAAAAAAATGTAGTATAAACACGGGCAACTGGGAAGCACTGGCCTGCGAGCACTCCAATTAGAGAACAGCCTTTACCAAAGGTGTCATGGGCTTTGAAGATGCTCAAACTCAGGATGAAAGGGAGAAACTAGCTAAGAGGAAGGCACCTTTGGCAAACCCTTACCATGATCAACTCCCTATGTCCCCACTGTGGAAGGATGTGTGGATCCAGAATTGGCCTCCACAGTCACTTACAGACTCACTGTTAAGACCGTGTTCATGGAAGACAATCTTACTCGGCTACGAGTGATCACCAAAGAAGAAGACTGCAGATATGAAGTTTGCCGTGGATCCTGGGCCCAACTTTGTAGAGTCTCAGAGAGGGATGGGGGAAACTGTGGTCCCCCAGATGCTGTGGAACTTGACTCCTGCGAGTCTGAGCCAGCACGGACAATGCTGAGGGAGATGGAAGTTGTAATGTAGCAACAGCTGGCAGGTGACAGGTTCTCCATGTCAGGTCTAAGCAAATCTTCCCAGATTTGGTCTCAGTGAATCTCAGTAGGAAAAGTTTGTAATAGAAAGCATGTGCTCTCTGACACATCAATTTTAACACTCCCATCATATAGGTATTAAATTGAGAAGGTGCAAAATGCCACTTTATTTGAAACACGGAATTAAAAATGCATTAAAACCGACCCGCCTTCCTCTTACTGAGCGTTTACCTACCCATGTTTATCAGAGATTGTAAACCTCATTGTAAACTTCCTCATTGCTTTGGTACGAAGCAGTTGATAATCCTTTTGCTTGCTGAATGCTCAGGAGGACGATATACTACTGGGAGTCCAGAAGGAGTTGAATTTTAATTTGGAGGCACACCAAATCATTAAAATGGCTCCTGTGCCCTTTAATACATTTATTATATTGTTACTGAAGTATATCACATAGCATTAGAACTTGTGATCAGTACATTTCAGAAGGTACATGGAGGTTTCTCTTTCCACTTCATGCGTAGGCTTACAAATATAGACCAGCCACATTGCTTCAGCAAACACATTATTTCCTTAATGTGTATGTTTGTTGATTAATAGTTATGCAGGAATGAAGAGGTCTGCAGAAGTGAATTGACAGGCAGGATGAACTTGACCCCTTCCCTACCCACTGATTAACTTAATGCAACCCCTCTCACACTTTTCCCCCCAGTTGGGTTTATGTCTGGTCTCTGAACATGCTGTACCACTGAACTACAACCCTCACCCTGGTTGGACTAAATACTCGTGCTCACTGGTCTTTCCCTTGCAATGAACCTCTTTGAATTATGGGAAACTGTATTTCCCCTGGACTGTGTGATTTTTCTCTGTGTCTTCTGTTTATCCTACTTCCCACCTGGATTACAGGGGGCAATATCTAAATTTGCATGGGGTGGCGGTGGAATATAGAAGGAAAAATATACTTTTTCTAGGCATCATAAGGAAACAGCTGTAGAACTGCCCCCTCACTGTTTTTGTCCTTGTGGAGTTTGGCAATGAAATGATTAATTTTGCAAAAGGCAGCTCCACCCAGTCCAGCCAAGGTTAATAGAGATTAAGTGCCCTGGAAGTTTAAGTTAATTGTGACGTGTTCTTCTGGTTTCAATGGGACCTCGGCTTTATCTGAATTGTAGTCAGGAAGTTTCTGGGCCGTGCATGACGAAAGAGCGGTGGAATGAGATAAGGTACGTCAGACAAAGCATATTTCTTTACGGGTAAACTACATTGAAATGAATTGGACTCACTTCAGAGTAAAGCTAGTTGCAGCTTTTAAATCCTTCTGGTCCAAGGAACTTAAACTGCAAAAAGATAACATTCCATGGGTTTTAATTATTCCTTAGCTATGACTGGCTTTTGCTGGACTTGTGCCCCATATCTATCAGGAGCGTTTTGAAGCTGACATCTTCAAAAAGAAAAAGGCGCTAAATTTAAAGTGCATCAATTTTTTTATGGTGCGCTCAGAGTGTGATCCCCATTTTTCCCTGGTCTGTCCTCTCAAACTCAAACTGGCGATGGGAAAGAGTCTTCTTTTGCCTGGTGCAGCAAACTCAATTGCTGGCCTCAATTCAAGTTTAGACTCTAGCCTGAACGAAAATGGGTAAACCTTTGTGTGAAAAGAAAAGGGAAACAAAGTGTAGCTAACACACAACCCCTTGTCTTTTCTAGGTGTTCGTTATTAAGGACCGGTTTTAGCTTCATCTGAATAGCCATGGCAGAAGGTGGATTTGATCCCTGCGAGTGTATCTGCTCCCATGAACATGCCATGAGGAGGCTGATCAATCTGGTGAGAGACATTTGCCTTTACGTTCCTTTTCGTTCAAATCAGATTTCAGCCAATTGCATAGCTACTGCTGAATAGCCTTCTTGAGCGCTTGCTCATGTAGTCTTTCAAAGTGCATGCCACTCTCATAATTTTTTCTTAGAGCAGTCTTTCCACAAGTCCTTCAAGGGGCTGCATCTATTATCCATAGGATGGACAGGTAGATACACTGTTAGGTGATAGGGAAACCTTCCAGCTGAGCATTGTCGATTTCACTTGTGCTGTCAAAAACAAGGGTGAGTCCTTGGGAGTGGGTTCTTCCTCCCCCTCCCCTCTCTCAACATTTCAGGGAGATATGCACTCTGGCACAGATGAGCGGCACAGTCTTAGAAACTAGTCAAGATAAAATCCATGGAAACAAAGCGCTGTCTAAGGGTAGGGGGAAAGTAGACTGGCTGGAGGTTTGCTTCTTAGATTTATTTAAAGGGCTATACAAGTACTTCTGCAATTGAATGGTGTCATGGGAGACTATCCAACGCGTGTGTAAAAGAGAAGAACGGGGAAAATAAAGGAATGATCCAGCCATATTTAAATACTCCTTTGTTTCAGTGGGAGATCGTTAAAACAACAAGATTGAAAAGTACCATAACATTGACAGGCTTGTACCTAAGTTTAGAAAGGACTTAATTTTTTTTAACTCGTGGGAGGGAAAATATGGCATTTTACTTGGAACCAGGCTGGGGATCCACTTGACTGTTGGGAAAATGCAGCTTCTGGGTGTGTTACAATCACTTCTAGGAATCTATTCCTCAGAGCCTTTTCGAACAGTGAACATCCTGTTTCAGTCCAAGCTGGCCACGATAAGAACCTTGAATATTTAAGAATTAGGTGCCCCCATTTGCTCGCTTTCCTCGTCCTGACTCACCACTTTTTCCTTTTGTGTCATGTCTTCTTACATTGCAATCTTGAGGGCATTCAAAAGCTGTACTTGGAGCTTTTCCATAATGCTTTGAATAAAGAAATGCAGTAAACAAGATCTCGGCAACCCGAGGATCCTACTAATTCAAGCTCCATTAACCTACGGGGGGTAGGAATCACAAAACCAATCTACTGTGGCTGGTAGTTTCCCTTTGCCATGAGCAATGGATGGTTGCAGTAACAGGCAGTCATTGAAGAGAAGGAACGGTTCTGTCCAGCAGAGAGGACAGATAAAAATTAGGATTAGCATGTTGACTTAAAGGAGTGATAAGGAGACAGGAAATGTGCATCTGTGCCTAGCTAAAAGAAAGATAGGGAACAAGAAGAAAAAATGGAGGCTATGGGGCCTAGTGGTGTGGTCTGGGAGAGGTAGGATGAGCATATGTGTGTGAGGTTTTAATTTTATTTAGAGGTGATTTAGGGGAAATTTAATTGTGAACAGTGTTAGGTTCCAAGGAGTAGCTTTGTGTTTTGAGGCTCATACAGTGGTACCTTGGGTTACATACACTTCAGGTTACAGACTCCGCTAACCCAGAAATAGTACCTCCGGTTAAGAACTTTGCTTCAGGATGAGAACAGAAATCGTGCTCCAGTGGCGCGGCAGCAGCAGGAGGCCCCATTATCTAAAGTGGTGCTTCAGGTTAAGAACGAATTAAGTACTTAACCCGAGGTACCACTGTATATCCCAGCCATGTGTTCTTCTAAGTTTCTGGAGGGCCAAGGTCTTTTGCCTCTTAGCCTCTCATCAGTTTTCCTTCTGTGAAATGGATGTTTTCTTGCAGTAGTAACTAAAGTCTTTCTCCACGTCCCCACAGTGGCCGTTTTGTGAATTGCTGTGTCCTTCTGGGCCAGCCTTTTTGCAGCTGTGCCCACATTGCAAATGCGGCCACAGACCCCAGAATGTTGGAGGCCTGATATATAGAACAGTTGTCATCGGCAACTTCGTCAAAGTCAGTTGAGACTATATCAGATAAAATAGGTTCAGGATGGAGTCATGGGGGTATTGATGCAAATGAATCCAGTGAGAGGTGTGTGTGTGTGTGTGTGTGTGAGAGAGAGAGAGAGAGAATTCTAGAAACACAAAATCCTTAACATACTGCATCTTGTGTCAAATGTGAGGGAGGGACATTTTTGAAGGGATTACTGTATATGAATTTTGTTTAAAACTGCCGAGGAGGGAAATGAAACTGGCACACAGTCTGTCTGTTAAGGGGAGATCATATCTCAAGTTCTACGAGGTCTAAATACTTGCTTTTTGAAAAATGGAAGCTGGAAATTAGGTTCACCAGGGGGCAACTATCTCTTGTGGGTGCCCATTTCCTATAACCTTATCTCCACAATGTGTATAATAAAGGCAAGGCTATCTCTAGGGATCTTATTAATACTACTATATATTTTTCCATTATTTTTCTATCTTGCCTACATCAACATTGCCCTCTTTTGGTAGGGAAGCAACACTGCAAGGTGTGTGTTTATAAGCCCCTTTTAGAATGGTGGTGTAAGTTAAAAACACAGTAAGTTATGCTTATATGATTTCTGTTTTTACCTGGTAAATATGGTAGTATGTCACATAATACAAACCACTGGACACAATCTGCTTCAAGCTCACCTGCAATTTAGCCCCACTGAAATTAATGAAAAGTGTGATTCATTCAAATCAAATTTCAAAATGTGTTAGGTAGAGTTTATCCTTATCTACGTCTGCAAAATGTCTGCAGTCTTGTGCAGAGCTCTCCCTCATTGGAACAACTCATGTTCTGCAAAGCTTATTGAAAGAGCTTGCTAGATCAAAGTCAAAGCAGAAGCAATTAGAGAGTTTTCCGTTTGCCAATAATTAAAGCTGAACCTATTGATACGTTCACTCTCTAATTGTAATTGTGTGTTTTATGTTGATGCTAAAACAGGAGAAAGGACAGGTGTCAGAAACCTTCAATATAGTTAGGGAAATCCTGTGTATGTTCAAATCTCTAATTCCCCTATCCCTCCAATACAGAAGGGATCAAGGGCTGGCCACTATAAAAAGATGGAAGTGAAGCAAATTGCATAGGTGAACACTCATCTGATAGCACTGGAACAAAAAAGGAGGAGGGACTTGTGCTTAGGAAATGTGCCTTGGAGAATCACCATCAAAATTTAAAGGATGGGGTTGGGGTTGACCTATGGCATGCATTCTTGGATTTCTTGGTCCACCCACCACCCCATAATCCTTTCAGTTGCGTGGGATGATTGCAGGGTAAATGAATGCACATCAGATGGTTCGTCTGAGTGTTGTTGTAGTGTGGCCAAATTACATTGCTACATTAAGCATGCTTTTTAAAAAGCACGCCTAAGCTTGCCGCTTCTGTTGTGAAGGAAGCATAGTCACACAGGACCCTTAGCTATTTCCCTGCCAAAAATCCACCCCACAGCTGCTCCTTGTACACAGATGTGACGTTTTTCTGCGAACGGTACCTTTAAGGACAAATAGCAGCTGCTGGGAAGGGAGGGGCAGGTTTTGGCAGGGAAACTGGTACAGTGCCCTAATCTGGATCAAGACCCTGTCTAGCTGTTTTTCTTTGGAAATTAAAGCCACCAGTGCTCAGCATGGTGTTTTTAAAAATATGCTTAATATAACATAGTTTGTCCCCAAGTGAGCATTCCATTGAAAATGATGTAGTGCGGTGAGACCTCATTTGCTCTGAGATGCTCATTTGGACATCTATCTGGTTTAGGTCTGCTCTTTCTGATCCAGTAGAACAGGCTTCCTCAAACTCTGCCCTCCAGATGTTTTTGAGACTACAATTCCCATCATTCCTAACCACTGGTCCTGCTAGCTAGGGGTCATGGGGGTTGTAGGCCAAAAACATCTGGAGGGCCGAGTTTGAGGAAGCCTGCAGTAGAAGGTTGCATCTTGCTAGAGATTTGGAATTGGTCCGCACTTCATTCTTTTTAATAGCAGCTCCTCCATATTGTACAGCCAACTGCTTTGGTTTCAAAAGCCAACTGTGATGCGGTGTATTGGGAGGGGCTACTTAAAAAAAAAAAGGAACATCAAAAAAAGATTCCACCTAAACATTAGGAAGAACTTCCTGACAGTAAGAGCTGTTTGACAGTGGAATTTGCTGCCAAGGAGTGTGGTGGAGTCTCCTTCTTTGGAGGTCTTTAAGCAGAGGCTTGACAACCATATGTCAGGAGTGCTCTGATGGTGTTTCCTGCTTGGCAGGGGGTTGGACTCGATGGCCCTTGTGGTCTATTCCAACTCTATGATTCTATGATTCTATCTTTTTCCGACCAGTGATTATCACCAAATTTCTAGCACTTGTTGAAAAGCTGAAAAATAAAGAATTTTGATAATATACAAGTAAATTTTTGAAAGTAAAACCCATGTAGTTAACAATAGTTAACTTCCAAGACTTTGCACTCGACTCTCCAACGTTCATTTGATTTCAGAAATTCTGAAGACTCACCCACAAATCTTAGAACGGATGAAGTCTCTTTTTTCTCTAAGCAAGTTTCTGTTCTCTTCATTTCAGTTACGCCAATCCCAATCCTACTGCACAGACACAGAATGCCTTCAGGAACGTGAGTAATAGGGAAATCTTGCATGTATATTTTTAAACGCTTTTGTATATTGCTTTCCAGCACAAAGCAACTCAACAGCTGTTTTTATATATATCAACAGAAATATATTCAAAAATTAATAATAATACAATTTAAACACCAATAAAACAACAGCCACAAGCATTACAAAATACAGGAAGATAGTTGGACAGAATAAGTCTAAGCATGCCATCTTCAGATCAGATCTGAAAGCTTTCTGGGGGGTCTAAGCTGTGGGGGGCATCAATACAAAGGAGGCCATACCCTTGGTTCCCCATATAACAAGCTACTCTCATCAATGGAAATGGCAAGTGGGAGAGACCCTCCTGCTAATTTCAGGGCTAAAATAATTAGTGTTAAGGAATAGATGCAAAGGAAGAGATTATGTCTGAGGGCTAAATGTGCATTAGACTGAGTTTCATATTTCACCTTTTCACCTTTTTCTTTTCTTTTCACAAAATACCACTGGGATTGTTGCACTCTAAAGTGGGAGAACTTCACAGAAGCAGGGAGATACTTCTTAGGTTTTCTCTCTGGTCCCCCTCCCATTTAAAATGTTCCCATCTGCTTTCTTGCTGCAATTTGGGAGGGGGTGGTTTTTTAATAAACGGAATAACCACTGGATAAGAAAGGATTCAGAAGCCCTTTCTCCCTGCTTAGGACTTCTGCTTTAGATTGTTATCTCTGCAACTGTATTTTACTTTATTTAGTTCACAACTTTCTATATATCTTAGTTGTAATAAAACTTAAAAGTGATTTGTTTTCTAAAATAGAAAATGTGGGGGGTGGGAACGGGACAATGCATGGCTGAGGGCTAGGGGTGGGTGTTGCTCTGTGAAAAATATCATCAGATTAGGATATCAAAACAGCATTTTGAGAAATTTCAGGGGCATGCGTTTTGATCCAAACAGAAAAAGGCCTAGATAATTCAGAAAGAATCGTGCCATTGTATACCTTGTAGTATTGGTAATTTGAACCAAAGGAAGTTTTTTTTCTTAGTTGGAAGTTGATCTTCCAGTTTTGGAATGCATAACCGTTCCAGCCAGGTACTAGTGTACACTGATAAAGACCCACGTTCATGATTCATCATGCCAGATTGCACACTACAGTCTTATTTTCCAACTTTCCTACTCTATTGAAAAAAAGGGGGAGGGGTTGGCAGCGTTTGGATGTTTAAGAGTGATATAAAAACACAGTGAGAATTAGCTTTGAGTAAGAACATGTTTGGAATTTTTACATAAAGTGTGATGGGGCCAGTAAGAGGCTATGAGTATCCAGACTTGGAGAGTTAACTGCATGGCCAGCTGTCTAAATGCTGGAACCTCAAGTGCAGCACTAAGGAATACACTGCTTTGCGTAGCAGGCAAGGCAGAAGGCCCGGCTGCTAATATTTGCACCAGGCTTAGCCATCCCAGAAGTTTCATGCTGCTTGCCAGCCAACTGCAAGGGCAGATGTTGTACACCTATGGTATCTTTGACGTCTAGGGGCTTGTAGTCAACAGGGAATGGCTTACTAGACTACATTTTGATTTGCTCCCTTAGATCCTCAGTTTCATCCCCAGATTTCCTGTCACTAGCTTTCTTCTGTATTTATTTTGTGCCTCCCCCCAGCCTTCTCTTAAACCGGAAATGAGGAACTCCAGATGTTGTCAGACTCCAATTCCCATCATTCTTGATTGGCCAAACTGCCTCAACTTACGAGAATCAGAGTCCAACAGCATCTGGAAGATCGTAGGTTTGCTAAGCAGAGCTCTGGAGAGTGTAGATCCTGGCACACAAATGACTTTGGGAACTTTATATCCTGAATTTCTGTCTTACATGAAACCCTCGAGGTGGCTTGCATATAGAATTTGCATATAGATTCTGGCACACACAATTCATTTAGGAACTTCACACACACCCGATTTCTGTTCTTATATAAAACGCTCATGGTGGCTTACATATTAGAATCAAGGGGGGGCAGGGAAACATACTCAAAACAGTTGAAAAGAAGATGGGAACAGCGAATAAAAAATTACAGACACTTCCCACTCACCCCCAATATCAACTGAAAAGACCAAATGCCTAGTGGAATAATAAGCTTATTTCTAGATTTGAGGTGAGGGGGCTTAGCTCGAATTGGCAGGGAATTATGACATCTGCCGTGTTGTTTTCCCTTAGTCACATCTGCTGATAGGAATGAAGAGCTGGAGGAGTGCAGCAAGTGCTTTGGGAGCCTATGATTATTTTGCTTCCTGTCTGAGACCCAACTTATACAAACAAACCCTTTTGGCCAATGATTACAGCAGTAAAGGCTGGAACTTTGGGTGGGGTTTGGTTTGGGAAGCAGGAGGGCAGGGGCTCTGCTGAAGTCAGCCTGACGTCTGTTACATTGCTGCAGATGAATGAATCATTATGAAAACGATGACTTGAGAGGGGAACTCCCTGAATTTTGCACATTTGGAGTCTTTCTGTGGAAGTGTGAAGCTCTTGGGTTTGGTCTTTACATCCAGACAAAGTGAAACAGCACTCATTTGCTTTGAGATAATATAGGCTAGCAGTGCTTCCTGAACTTAAAAACTTAAAAAAATGGTATTTTTGCAAGTAAAATTGGCATCTAATGACACTGTTATGTCCTTAAAGATTGGGAAAAGACCTTGCCAAAGCAGAAACTTGGCATACAGACAGAGTAGCTCTTCTGGGGGCAGCTAATTCTGTAGTTGTCTCTGTCAGCTTTGATTGGCTCAAACGCCGGCTCCCTCGGCCTGAAAGTGAGATGAGTGCTGCAACCCCATAGTCACCTTTGACTGGACTTAACCATCCAGGGGTATTTTACCTTACCTTTTGGGCACTGACCACTCTCAAACTAGCTTAGCTTAACAAGGTAGTGGTCTTCTGTGTCTTCAGACCATACTTTTATTCTGTCTTATCACCAAGGCGTGTTGCTTCTCCCTTTGCAACACAGTGGAGAGCAACCTGGGGCCCAAGTGCAACGTGTAATTCCCCCCAAACCCGCAGCTAATTTTGTGTGCCCTCCAACATTTACTGTAGCTTCTCAATTTCTCCATTCTATCAGTTTCTTCCTCCGTCTTCGTTTCTTACTTCCTTCTCTTAGCTTTTAAAATTGTGCTTTCCCTCTTTCTGTATAGTTTCAGAAAGGGCAGTATTTTATTTGGTGAAAATAAATTGGGGTGTGTACATATATAGCTCACTAAAGCCAGAATGGAATTGCTTTCCAGAAAATAACCCCATCAAACCTAGCTCAGGGCTTACATCTGAGAAGACCTGCATAGGATTTCTAATCTGAGCTAGCCATGACGAAAGCTGAAGAAGGGCAGTCTTTATTCTGGATTATTTAATACATAAAACTTTGTTCCTGCCCCTCATCTGCCCTCCTCTGCCAGGCATTGACATGTGTCTCACATGAGACTACCCCTGAGGGAATGTGACCCTCTCAGCAGAGGTCAGCAAACTTTTTCAGCAGGGGGCAGGTCCACTGTCCCTCAGACCTTGTGGGGGGGGCAGACTATATTTTGGAAAACATAATAATGAATGAATTCCTATGCCCCACAAATAACCCAGAGATGCATTTTAAATACCGTATTTTTCGCCCTATAGGACGCGCTTTTCCCCCTCCAAAAATGAAGGGGAAATGTGTGTGCGTCCTATGGGGCGAATGCAGGCTTTCGCTGAAGCCTGGAGAGCGAGAGGGGTCGGTGCACACCGACCCCTCTTTCTCTCCAGGCTTCGCGCAGCTCTCTGCAAGCCGTGGGAGCCCGCGCCGGGCTCCCATGGCTTGCGGAGAGTTGACTGCATGCTGAAGCCTGGGCGCGCTGAGCTCAGCGTGCCCAGACTTCGTGCAGCTCTCCACAAAGCGCGGGAGCCCAGCGCTGGGCTCCCACGGCTTGCGGAGAGTTGCCTGTTCTGGGGGCTGGTGTCGGGGGAAGTTCGGGCTTCCCCCGCCCCAGCCCCGCACCTGGGGGGGGAAATAAACATTTTCCCCTTTATTTCCCCCCAAAAAACTAGGTGCGCCTTATGGGACGGTGCGTCCTATAGGGCGTAAAATACGGTTAAAGGGCACATTCTACTCATGTAAAGACACGCTGATTCCCGGACTGTCTGCAGGCCGGATCTGGCCCCCGGGCCTTAGTTTGCCTACCCATGCTCAGCAGCATAAAGATTCCCCATCCCTGCTTTACAGCACAAGGATAGGGCCCTTCCTCTCTGCCCCGTTGGCAAAACCTCTGCATAAGACTGTGGTTATCATCATGATGTGAGCTGGGAACAAATAGTCCCCAGTCCAAATAATCAGTTTAGCCGTGAACTTATTAGATGGCCTTCAGCAAGTTTCTAGCTCAGAGTTCCCTTCGGCCGCATGAACAATATCCTGTCCTCTTTCAGCCGTACTTTGAAGGCTGTTGTAAAGATAATTTACGAAAATGTTTAAGCATGCCACAAACGTTTCAAATTTTTCCTATACCTTGGCAATTCTTACAATATGCTATATGATTATTAAATACTAACTGCTTTCTCTTTAGTTTGATTACATTTTTAAATATGTATTCTTGCAATACATTGAGGAAAAGAGTGGGTAGCCAGAGGCTCGGTGTATATTGAACAGAGCTATGTCACAGGAGGAGGAAGAAACCTTACTCCCGAGGTTTTAAAAATCTATCATTTTAATTGCTTCCAACTCTGAGCTTATTTCCTGCTGGGCCTTCCCTCTCTGCCCCATCCCCAAGGACACTGCTAATAACCTTTGCCCAAGGAAGCTGAAGGTCTCTTTCACAGTTTGACGTTGAGAGGGATGTCATACAGGAGATTCCTTTGGCGGATATGCAGATAACTGATCAGCCCTTGAAATAGGAGCTTCAAGTGTTGCCTTGAAGAGAACAGCTTCTTAAAGAAGTGGTCAGCTTATCTGTAAGATATTTGATGGATTTAAAACTTCACAGCAGCCCAGATATCTAGCTTTTGTCTCTCACAGGCCGGGTCACATCAGTTGCTGCCAAAATGATGAGTGAAATGAAGCCTCCAGAAGTTTAGGGGGATATTGTTTTGTGGCCTACAGAAGAAAAGCAGGGTGCTTATCAGCTTTCTGAAAACTGTGACTACATGATACTGCTGCCTTCAATGTTCTTTGGCTTCTTATGGCAGCACTCTTCTGGCACCGAGCTCTGAGCCGAATTAGTTTTCTGTACTGCTGCAAGATTAACAGAGCAAGCCAAACTGTTTCTCAACCAGACTGTGGGAGGTTTCAGCTGAGTGGAGGCACCCCTCTGCTCAGTAATCATGGCTGAGCAATCCTCCCATTTTTATATTATTTTTATTTATTCATTAAATTTGTATATTCGTCCAAAGATCTCAGGGCAGTTCACAGTGTAAAATCACAAAATACAAAATAAAAACAAGAACAAACCAAACCAGTAACCACCCCCTTGTGAACACATTTAAAAGGATATAGGATGTTCATTAGTCAAAGGCCTGATTGAAGAGGAATGTTTTTGCCTGGCGCCTAAAGGTGTATAATGAAGGTGCCAGGCGAGTCTCCCTGGGGAGAGCATTCCACAAATGAGGAGCCACTGCAGAAAAGACCCATTCTTGTGTTGCCACCCTCCAGACCTCTCATTGAAGCAGCACATGAATAAGAGCCTCAGGTGATCATCACAGGGTTTGGTTAGGTTCATATGGGGAGAGGTGGCTCTGGAAGTATTGCGGTCCTGAGCTGTTTAGGGCTTTATAGATCAGAACCAGTAGTTTGAACTGGGCCATAATTGACAGCCAGTGCCGTTGGGCCAGGATCGGTGTAATATGCTCAAACGGTCTGGTCCTGGTGAGCAACCTGGCTGCCCATTTCTGCACTAGCAAGTTTCCAAACCGGCTTCAGAGGCAGCCCTATGTATAATGCATTGCAGTAATCTAACCTACATGTTACCAGAGCATAGACAACAATAGTTAGGCTATCCCTATCCGGAGCTGATGGAAGGCACTTTGCATCACTGAGGCACTGCTGCTGTGGATTTAATCAATTTGGTAGTAATTTAGTAAATAATATGAATGTAAACATATTAGACTACAGTAGAGCCTCTACTTACGTCCCGCTCTACTTAGGCCTGTTCCAAGTCGTGACCGTGGCAAACCCGGAAGTAAACACCAGGTTTGCCGTGATTCACACACACGTAGAAGCGGCTGCTGCCATCTGCACATGCACAGAAGTGGGCTGCCGCCAAATGTGCCTGCGGACAATGACGCTTCTACCAGCGACCTATTTTGCCATAAAGACGGGCCTCCGGAATGGATTGTGGTCATGAGTAGAGGTTCCACTGTATTTGTATCTTTGCATAAATGTGTGTGTTCTGCATGTGTGTCTATATCTATATCCATCAGGAGGGAGGATATAGTGTGGAGGCCTCAATAGCTTCAGCCATTTACCACCACTACAAAATTTATATTGGTCAGTGGGTAGATGATGGCTTCTTGATAACAATCAGCAATTATTCGCTCTTTACATTTTCAAAAATTGTGCTAATGTTGACCAGCAAGTAAAAGACACAGAGGGAAGAAAATAAATATGGAAGTGAGAATGCTGAGAGCATCCATCGGTTGGAAAGTTGCCAGATGGCACCATAAACTTTCAGAGATGAGTACGGATGAAATAACTAGCCCTGTGATCAGTTTAAAAGCAATTGAAGACGAAGTGGAAAAGAAGCAGACAGCGTTTAAGAAATAGTCATCTATTTCTTGAGGTTAAGGCTTAACAGTCAGTACAGTGACTCACAGGGGACCGTGTTTGTTCAGTGACTCAGGAGGTGGAGCTACTTTTCTCTTTCCAAGCCAGTTAGCCCTCCTTCAAGAGCTGAACTTATCTGTTGAGCCTGAGATTCTACCTTAGCTTGACTCTCTTGTTTCTCCCAAAATGCTGCGTAATCCCCATCTGAGTCCCTTTAATTGTAGTTAATTTTAAAAAGTGACTTGAAATTCTTCACTCTGTTTAATTCATGTGTTCTTTTCCTTCCAGTGCCAGGACCCAATCCGTCTGCTGATAATGACATCAGTGTGACAATGATAATGGTGGGCTGGCTGGTTCTGGCACTGGTACTGTTCTTGATGAGACCTGCTAACCTAAGAAGACCTTTTACAGCTGAAAAACCATCCAGCCCACATAATGTGAGTATTCAGACGTTTTAGTTAACCTCCCTATATAACGTCAAACGACGAGGCAGGGAGAGGGGAATATGTGATGCAGAGGCCTGAGTTTCTCGAAGAAAAACCAAGACACAAATGCAATTCATATGTAGCTTTTAGCAGACTGTGCTACACTGTGCCAGTAATGCATTTTCCTCATCCATTCTGACGTTGCATTCCTGTTTACAAAACCGTTCGTGTTGCGATCTGGTGCAGTCCTAAATAAAAAGTACCTTAAAGCAGTGGTTTCAACCAATGGAAATCTGTAATGTTGTTACACACAGCAAATTCTCTCCCCTTTCATCCCGCACAACACACTAATACTGCACAGACTTCATGCATGACAGTTTTATAAAGCCTTTTGAACAATTTCCCCCAGTTTGTTATACTTCTAGCACTTAATGTGGAAGATCGGTCACCCTTGTGTAGAGGAAGGAAAGGGGACAGAAAGAAGTCTGTGTATATTGGTTTTTGTTTTTGCTTTTTGAGAGAGTATTGAAGATTCCCTGTTGTAGCTGGTATCAGGATCAGGCTAGAACTCGAGATGGTTTTGCATGGAACTGAGCCAGGGATAAGCTGACACTAAGACTACCAGTCCTCAGCACAGGAGGGTCTGCCCTGCTAACTAGACAATGACAGATGCCCACTTCCTGGTTCTAATAAATTTTGTGGTCACTCTGGAAGCATCTTCTTGGTCTATCAAAGGCAGTGATATGGGGATCTCTATTCACTGCCAGGCCTGAAGACATCTCTGAATACTTCCAGTTCTAAGTAGCTCACTCAGCTAGAGTTCTATCTGTCCTTGGCACTCCTGGTTCTGTCATTGCATTCCTCAACTCAAAAAGGTGTACAGCGAATCTTGAAATGGACAGCTTCTTCTCTTGTACACATTTCTTTCTACTGTTCTAATCTTTCTTCTCTTTTGTACACATTCCTATTGTTCTAATGGCGGGCACATAGAACAGGGACGTTTTGGTGGTGGCCTGCTGTTGTGGAATTCAGTCCCATGTGACATGAGGAAAGCATCATCCCTTGATACTTTTAAATGGGCCTTGAAGACCCATCTTTTTGTCATGGCCTTCAGTGAGTAACTTGCAAGCAGTAGAACTAGTGCTGAGTTCTGGTTATGTATGTGTTTTAAGTTACGCTGAGTTATTTGCGCTAGCTTTCAGTAGTTTTAAGTAGATGCTTTATATTTTATTGCCTGTGTTTTAATTTGTATTATGTCATGCCCCTTTACATAGAATGTCTGTCTTGAAAACCAGGCTGCTATATGAAATTAAAATATATAAATCAGTGTATTCTTGACACACAGGGGCAAGAACCACCAGCTCCACCTGTGGACTAGACCTTACTGGAGGAAGCTCAGCGACTGTAACCTTGCACGACCAAAAGAACGAACGTGACCAGAATACCCCTCTATGTCGCACACAATACTGTTCTGCTCCATACATTTAAAATTGTTTTGCACCCCCTCCCGTTATATTTGAATAAGTTAACATATGTGGCATTTTTGCTGATATTCATTGGACTCTAGGCACTATTGCACTTTGCAATAATATCTAAAAGAAAATTAAAGCCTAGTTGTCATTTTTCAAACAGTTCTTTCCCTGCAGTCCACCAATAATGTCTCCGTGATCTATGTACATTTATGGGGTGGAGGGAACTGCACAGAAGTTCCCATTGAATGTGCCATTGTCTATAGAATTGATTTAGAAGAGGGGTGGCTAATCTGTGCTCCTCTTAATATTGCTGGACTAAAACTCCCATCATTTCCAGTCAGCATGGCCAGCGGTCAAAGATGATGTAAATTATTGTCTGGCAACATCCAACTGGCCACACATTAGCCTCCCCAATTTAGAAAAACCCAAATTGTATCTCATCAATACAACTTTGGATTTACTCTGTGCCTGCGAACCAGAATTGTTTCACAGGGATTCTCTCTACTATTTATATCTGTGTTAGTGTTGTCCAAAGTACATCCTTCTCTAAAATAAGGCCAAATTAAATGTATTTATTGGAAGCAAGCAAATAAATTTAGTATTGTATTAAGATAACTAAAGAGTGCATAACTAAATGTTACATTTGAAACTAGGAATATTTACAAATACTATAATAAAAATAGTTACCTGTATACTTCTCTGTAGTGGATATTACAGTCCACAGCTAACTATATCCAGTTATTTTCTGTAAATGTAGGGCTCCAATGTGCACATGAAGCTGCTCTGGATTGTAAAGGTTTCCCATTCAGTTCAGTGGCAGGGCAACAGCATGGTGTATTTAGGTAAAAATGATGCATTTGTAAGGATTTCCCCTGTCATTGAAGTTGTTAGAAGCCTTTGAAAGAAGGAAGCAGTCTATGCATATTGGACTGTTTGTGGAACTGTCATCAGAACACCTCAATACATTTTATTCAAATACCGGGGGGTAAACAATGACCAAATACAACAATCTCATTCTATTTTGAAGTCCACAGAACTAGATTTGTCCTATGTACTTACTTGCTGCATCACTCCAATCTGCATTATTTATTTTCAGGCGTTAACATTTTCATATTCTTAGAAACAGCATGCCAGAGCTGTGCCTCTAAGGCAAGAGTCCAGCTGCCATTTTTTTATGGATGGAATCAGCAAGCAGTAATGTAAAGACACCAAATGTTCACAGAAATAGAACAGATTGCTTGCAAATATTAAACATAGTTTTAAGGACTGCCATTTGGATTTAAAATGTTGTTTTATGTGTTATGAATTACATTATCTATGTTTAGCTTTCCCTTAAAGTGTGCAGGAGACAAAAAGGAGTCTTCAGGATCACTTGTGGACATACCCTAAGACATCTTAAGAGACATCTTAAGTGCTGCTTAAATTCCCAGCAAGAGATATTCTGCATAGCACAGAAAGTGAAGTGGTAAGCTGAGGTGATAAAATTCTGGACTGTACCACTTGCAACTGCAGATGTGTGGAAGGTGTCATCGTTCTGAATGCTAAAACCTTTCCTGCTTCAAAGAAACTATCGCATTTGAGAAGGCTTCATGAAACCTTTGTGTCTGATGGAATAGTTTACATCTTGCTCAGATCCCCTTCCTAGGTGCAGAAGCGTTCAAAAGCATGCACCTCCCACCTGCAGTCTCAAGTGTACAGCCCAGAATTCTGCTATCTCAGTATGCAATGTGTAGAACAGCTTTAATGCTGAAAGCATCCTCAAATTTGGCTGCTTTGAACAGACTCTTCAATGAGACATAATTTATGGTTGCCAGAAATGAAATGTAGCAATTGTAATTTGCATTTTTCTTACGCATTCTCAATTAGCCTCCCTCCTTTACTTTTATTCTTGGAATGACCAACAGGAAAATATAAGATGGATTAGATGATTTGGTATGCATGTACTCGCAATTCCAGTTTAACTACTGGAAAGGAAAATACATATGCAATAAGTAATTTAAGAACATTATGCTGTTCAGTCCTGTGCATGTTTACTTGGAAGTCCTATTATGTTCAGTGGGGCTTGCATCTGAGTAAGTGTTCCTAAGACTGCAGCTGGGAGTGAAACAAAACAACTCTGCCTGTTTTTCTTCATCAGAGAACAAAAAGAACCCTTTTATGTTTTAGATTGGCTATGAAGCTTCTTACTGACAATTTTATAGCAATTTAGCAATATCGCAGCAAAACGGCTTGCAATAATTTACAGAATTGTAGAGTTGGAAGGGACCATCATTCTAGTGCAACCCCTAGCAATGCAGCAATAATGGCCTAACTCTACAAACAAAACATTTCTTTGGTCCTATACTAAATTTGCATCAGTGACCCCTAAAATATAGATCTCGAACAAAAATATTTTTGAGGAAGATGCCTTATACTGGACTGGTCCATCTTCCTCGCTGTTGTCTACACTGACTAGCAGTGACACTCCCAGGAGACATTCCCAGTATTACTTGGAAATGCCAAGGGTTTATCTAGAACCTTCTGCATGCAAAGCAGATGCTTCAACACTGAGTTATGGCCCTTCTTGACTCCTTTCATCTTGTTATGGGAAAAGCCATGGCAAATTTAAACCAATCTCATTGTGATTTACACTTCTACAGTAGAATGTGCCTTAGTAAGGGTCCTAAATTGTACCATGGCAAGTTTTTTTGTTTACGGGGGTGGGGGCGCTACTAGCAATTTTTTTCCACCCACCCCACACAACTTACGATGATTAACATTCTTGCTAACTTAGGAGCAAGCAGAACAATCCGTACTGCGCTTTAAGACAGTCTTTTGAGCATCAGAAAAGCTGTTCCAGATTGCTTAACCTGCAGCAAAACTGTGTTGCAGAAGATTCAAATAATGTTTTAAAAAATTGTGGTGGTGTTCATTACATTTAGCTTTGTCTATGATACCAGCTACCTGGACCTGTTGCTCTTGGTCTGCGTGGATCGGCATGCTATAGTACAGCTAGGCCAGGGGTCTGCAACCTTTAAGACAAAAAGAGCCACTTGGACCCGTTTCTGAAGGAAAAAAAACTGGGAGCCGCAAAACCGGGAAGGTGACGTCGGGACGATGCGTGACTAACGCATGCACCGCCCCCATGCGACGTCACAGCCAGTACAGCGCCCGCCACAGTGGGGAGTGTCGGGGCGCACAATGCACCTCCTCCCCTCGCTAGTATCCACCCCGGAGCTGCGGCAAAGGTGTAAAAGAGCCACATGCGGCTCCGGAGCCGCGGGTTGCAGACCCCTGAGCTAGGCATTGGAAGCTGACTTCCAGACATGTTTGTGCACCCTTGCCAAACCTGGCAGGGAACTTGAGGATTGCCAGAACAGTTTGAAAACCTCTGCTTTAAGATTTCAGATGGAGGGATGGTGGGGAAATAGGGGCTGTCAACCAACATCTAGTCCAGTGTCCTAGGGGAAATGGAAATATTCTGCTGAGAGGCCCAAACTGCATTCTCCCTCCTTTTCCAATACACTTACACTGGTGGTGGTTGAGGAAAGAAAGAAAGGTGTCCTTTAGTGCCTCTTTATAAGATTCACTTCTCATGAATCTTCTTAGAACTTGGATCTTTATATTAAGGGTTCAGTGATCAGATGGAGAGAGACTGCACAGCCTGCTTGATGGGAAAGAGAAAGCAGGCTTGCAGTTTATGCTTTAGTTTCTAATGCTTTTTTAAAACACACATGCTTTGAATGCAAACTAGACATGGCATCAGGCTTTCTCACACTTAAAAAAAAGTTAGTAGTAGCCACACAGGGCGGGGGAGTAGGGAAAAGATTTGGATGAGGACCATGGCACTGAGGACGGGATCACCCTCTTTTCTAATGGTGTTTCCTAATTAGAGTCACCGCCACCTGCTAAACAGCTTCAGGGAGGGGGTTTTAATTGTAAGACTACCATGGGAGAAGAGAGCTATACCCCCATACATTCTACACTGCAGCCCTGATCAAATCCCATCCTACAGCTCCTATTAACTTGCTTCAAAACAAAGGGAAATCCTGATGACATAAATCTTCATTGACCCTAGATTCACATGTGCTTATAGAATATCAGTTCACTTAGCCTTAATTTTCTGATGCAGACATATGAGTAATAATGTGACTTGTGCTTTTATAGTTTAGATTGGGAGACTAAAATTGTTTGAATCATGCCAGACAAAAATCGTATCTGTGCCATTTGGGAATTTGCAGTTTTTTAACTAAGGTTTTTGCTTGTACTATGCACTTTTTAAAATCTAAATAAATAGTAACCATTAGTTACCCTCTGTGAATGTGTGGATTTTATACACGATCAGTTTGGGAAAGAATAACAGTTTATCTAGTTGAATCTTTTAACTTAGGTTTTGTTTTGTTTTTTTACAGCTCCCCCCTCCCTTCTTTTTCTCTTGGCTGCCCTGTTTACATTATTATGTTGCCATGATTTTTAGTTTTGGACCAAAGATCACAATTTGAAAAAGAACTGTTAAAAAATAAACATCAGTCATTTCTTGTTAGAATGGAAAACAAAAGACAAGCTACTTAAAAGCATCCAATGTCACACTGGGCAATACTGTATATACAGGACACAATATAGAACTGGACCTCTGGTAGAAACTTTGGAAAAGTGATATGAAATTTACTGTGTGTTATTCTCTGAAAGAAAACTACAGTGGTACCTTAGTTCCCGAATTTAATCCATTCTGGGAGTCCATTCTAACTCCTGAAATGGTTCAAAAACCAAGGTGCGGCTTCCAATTGGCTGCAGGAGCTTCCTGTACTCAATCGGAAGCCATGTCAGACGTTCAGATTCAGAAAAACATTCGCAAACCGGAACACTCACTTCCAGGTTTGTGGCGTTCGGGAGCCAAGCCGTTCAACTACCAAGGTACCACTGTATTTGAAAATGATTCCTAGATGGTATTTAACTCTCAGTAGGTTGGCTAAGATGTATAACATAGAATCAGATACATGTTGGAAATGTAAAGAAATGGGAGGTACCTTTTTTCATATGTGGTGGACATGCAGAAAGGTGAAAGAATATTGGGAAATTATTTATAATGAGCTGAAAAAATGTTTAAATTTACCTTCCTCAAAAACCCAGTCCTTTTTGTTGGGAATAACCCAAGTAGAAATTCCCAGGTGGCAGTAGTTTATTTATGTATGCAACAACAGCAGCCCATGTTTTGTTGGCCCAAAAAGAGGATTGGCAACTTAAAGATGTTAGAATATGCAGAACTTGCAGGTTTAACCCACAGATTAAGAAACAAGAAGGTCTATTTAAAGAAGAGTGGAAAATATTTATTGAATATATGGAAAATAATTGTACACAGCTGAAAACGCTGGCAGCATTAAAATAAATCCAACAGAGTAAATAGTAACTGATTGATGTAAAAGTTTGAAAATTGATTTGAATGGTCATAGTAAAACATACAGGAAACCACGAACCATGGAAGGAGAAGCAAAGTCACTGGATGTTTCAAAGTTTGTAAAATGTTTAATTGGTTATGTAGCAAAATGAAAACTCAATAAAATATATATAATAAACAGGCTTATAAATAAAGTTAAGACACACACATCCCATCCCACAAATGTATGCCTCCTCAAGTTAGGCGTGAACTCTCCATTACATTTGTATATTTCCAATATTTTTAATTTTTTTGCTACTATAAAATACTGTACTGAAATGTTTAAGTCTCTGATGATCCTTGAATCTTCCCGCCAGCCTTGCCATCCTCTCCTGGCGCGCCTTTGGAGAACCACTGAATCGCACCCAGTTCACGCCGCATATTCAAAGCCACGCCACCTCGCGCGCTAAGAATTCTGGGAGCTGTAGTTTGCCAGGGGTGCTCCTAAGCGGGGTGAGGCTCCCGCTCCCCTCACGGAACTACTAATTCCCAGCGAAGAAAGAGATGTGGTGGTCAAGCCACTCCGGCCACAGCCTTTTATCAAAAGGTCGCTGCGTATCCCGTTTCCCTAAGCAACACCCAATAAAAGCCTCCATAAAAAAATTAAAATAAAATAAAAGCACAGCCAGGAGAGGGGCGGCCGCAGACGGCTTTCTCTCTCTCTCCCCCCCGCCCCAAATACTTTAATTTCCCCTCAAACGCGGCCTGTCTGGACGGAGGAACCGAGGCGCTCGCTCGCTCGGCCGTCCGGAGACGGAGAGCGCGTGAGGTAAACCCTGACCAGGCCCAGGAAAAGCCACGTCGCTGTGGCGGCGGGGCTGGGAAGATGGGCCGCATAAGCGCTTCTCGTAGTCGCCACCGCTTCAGGGCGCTCGCCTGGGTGTGCAGCGAGGATTTGAGGCCGAGCTCTGGGGCAGCAGCAGCAACAAGGCCGAAGCGGCCCCGGAGGCCTTGCCTGCCGCCACACCCAGCCCGCTTCCCTTAGCGCGGGAAGCCAGAGGCGACTAGGCCTCGGGCAGCGGCAGCAGCGTTTTCTTGGGCCTCGCTGGGGAAGAAGGTAGAGGCCGGCTTGGGAGCCTCGGCCCAGAGTGTCTGGGGAAACCTAGCCAAATGGGCGGGGTTTAAATTTTAATAATAAAAATAAAAATATCAGCACCTTCGCCAGAGGAAGGAGGCGGAAGCGAGAGGCAGAATAAGAGACTCCGCTCGTCCCCTCAAGATCCTTGAGGACACCTCGCTCTCCCAAACGATTCCCACCCGCATTTTATGCTTCCCCATAAATCTCCCCGCCTCCTCTCTCCGGTAGGAGCTGCTCGCCTCGGCCGCCTCCAAATACCTCCAGGCTCCAAAAATAAATCTCATTTCCCCGCACTGCCTCCTCCTTTCGTCCCCGATCCCTTGCATGGGCTTCTGCTTTTCCTCCCTCCGAGATCCAGGGATCCTTCGCCGCCCGCCGCTCTCAGCCCCCCTGCGGATTTCTTCCAGCTTTCTCGCTCTTTTCCAGCCATCCCAGTACTGTTTCCCCAGTAACCCGCTTTCATTCATTCATCCATCCATCCTGCAAACTCCCAAACATTCCTCGTTGGCTCTTCCGCAGCGCGAGATCTCCTAACCCGATCGCCGCCTTCCTTTTTCGCTCCTCCCGGCCAGATCTTCGCCATCCTCCCGCCCCCGGGCCCCACTTTTCCCTCCCACTGCCCGGGCGGGAAAGGGGAGGGATCCGCCGCTGCCCTCCGGGGGGGAAATAGAGGAAAGCGGCTCTTTAAAAGCGGGGCGGCGCCGGCGCCTGGGATCCACTCGCCTGCTCGATCCCTGCCTGGCCGCATCCGCTCCTGCTCCGTCCAGCTGCGGCACAGCCTCCTTCGCTTCCTGCCCATCCGAGGCACCGGGACCGCGGATCGCTGTATGTATTCCCTTCCCTCTTTAAAATGTTTGCGGACTTTCTCCTCTTCCCCACCCCCGCTTTTCCGGGGTTGCTTCCCCCCCTTGCTCAGGATGAAACCCTTTCACCAAAGCCTTTTTCTTACCGGACAAAGGGATCGTTTGATTTTGCTAGGAGGTTTAAGGGTGTGTATTGCCTTGAGTTTCCGTGTATATTTCGCCTTTCGCTGATGTTAAATTTAATGGCTTTCCCTGGGAGCTTGCTGTTTAATCTAAGGCATGCCAGAGATACTCCCTTTTCAGAAGAAGACTAAGGCTGCCTTTGTCAGGGCGTTTGAATGACTCTTGTGGGGTTTTTTTCCCAACTGCTTTGCAATGCTGCTTCCTCTATCGGTGTGTAGTATCCCTACATGTACACACGCAGGAATTTAAGACTCCAAATAACTTGAGACTTCAGTTCTTCTGAAAGCAGTTATTTCAGAATCGCTCTGAAATGCTCTCATTGTCTCCTTACAGATGCTTGCATATAGATCTAGTGAGTCCGTTTTGGGGGTTTGTTTAAAATGGGGCTACTCTTTAGAAGTATTCGAGAATAATTTATTTTGCACAAAGATCACTCCACCAGTCTATGATCTGTATAAATTGATCTGGAATAACTACCACACCCACTTAATACTCTCTGTGTGCAGATTTAGTCTTCTGGAAGTCAATCGGGAGGCAATTTATATGTTGCCATTACTAATTTTTAACAACACATCCCATTTTACTATACTCATTCCTGAAGTGTTCTTACTGTAAATACTTACTTACATATGTATCCCACCTTTTCTCAAAGCTTCTCAGAACTGTACATGGAAGTTGCCATGTTTTATCCTTAAAACTACCCTGTTAAGCGAATTTGGCTGAGAGTGACTGACCTGGTGGACTTTGTGACTAGGCAAGCACTTGAAGCCAGGTTTCTCCAATCCAGCACTCTTACTAACTCAAGTTCATATTGTAGCAAATGCTTAAATAATTATAGTGGCTCCTGGTTTATTTCTGGGCCCAGAATATTGGTGCCAGTGTTACCTTCAGACTGAGGTCTTTGCAGTTTGGGACTGAGCTCCCTCCAGTACCTGAAAGGACACCTGCCTCCCTGTCATCCTGCCCTTTATGTTCAGATATTCTGCCTTCCTCTGGGTACCGCCCCCCCTTATTCAAGACAGGGGCTTCTCAGTGGTGGCACCAGACCTATGGAATGCCCTTCCCAGAGAGGGGCACTAGGATGTGCCTCCTGTCTTTTGGCACCATTGAGGGATTTTGTACTGAGAGAGCAGCAATTCCACTAGCATAGCAGTGATATATCTTGTCCTTATAATTGGTATAGGATTGCTCTGCCCATGTTCTTTTGTTATATAGAGTTAGCTCACTAGTTGGGTTCAGCCTCCCTTGCAATATAAGGAATAATAGACTTATCTTGAGATTGTTATAAGGATTACAGCTAGACAACACATGTGAAATGCTTTGAACTCTTGGAATAATTATGCAAATGTTATTAGATAGATCCATAAAATATTAGCTGTCATTGTTAGCATAGACATTCCATACTTTTGAAACTGCATTCTCATGATTGGATACAGAGGTAAAAAAAGATAGAAGATGGTTCTTTTCACTGACTGCATGTTTTCAATGAGTCTTTCACTGGAACATATGTTAGCATGCGCGCGCACACACACGCACACACACACACACCTTCTCCTGATAGCTTGAATAATTTGATCAGCATAAGAATATAATATAAGCAGAGCTGGATCAAATGTAAGATCAGCATCCTCTTCTCACAGTGAATGACCAGATGTCCATGGAAAGTCTGCAAATAGGACCCTAGTGCAGCAGCCGTCCCCCCACTTGTGATTCACAGTACAGTGGTACCTCGGTTCCTGAACTCAATCTGTTCTGGAAGTCCGTTCGACTTCCAAAACGTTCGCAAACCAAGGTGCAGCTTCTGATTGGCCCCGGAACCAATGCCAACAGCTGAAAAGGACATTTGACTTCCAAAAAAAGTTCGCGAACCAAAACACTCTCTTCCGGGTTTGCGACGTTCAAGAGCCAATTTGTTTGGGAGCCAAGCCATTCGGGAACCAAGGTACCACTGTAATGGCCTCTGATCCTTGAGGTAGTACATGGCCATCATGACTAGCAGCCATGATCTAGAAGTGGATAGTAATCCCTATTTTGCATGAAAAGGAGTTGAAGTGGTCTGCAGGGAGAAAACTAGAGCTGATGGAATTTCATTGGGGCCGATATGCTAAACAAATGTTTAGCCAGCAGTGGCGAAAAGCCTCTTGGTTTTAATGGAAGATGCATCTAGCTTGACTTGTAATTTCTGCCTAGGCAGAATTGTGATAGACAAAGTCTGGAAGCTGGGAGAGAAAGCCAATCAAACCAGCCCCAAAACAAATTGCCTGAAGAAGGGAAACTGAGAAATGTTGTAATTTGAACGGTTTGGGTCAGCTTCTGAGAGGCTAAACCACAAGCAAGCACAAGGCAAACCAGTTCTTGAAATCCTCACATATTCGGTTGAGTGTCTATTGCACAACAGACCCCTTTCCTCATTCCATCCAAGTTCAATGATTCATTTTCCTCTGCTGGCAGGGGAAAAGATCCTATTTCAGAGAGGCTTGTGTGTTTGCCAGTAGCTAACAACACTAATAACGGTTGACCTTAAAAACTTTTACTTCTATTTTCCTTAAGAAAACTCAGTATCTCTCCTATGTCAATTTGCCTGCAACCACACGGTGCCTGAGATTCTGTTCTGTTCCTTTATTTTATTTATTGCATTTATACCCTGCCTTTCCCCCCAAGAAGTTCAACGGTGTACATGGTTCCCCCATCTTCATTTAATCCCCACAACAGCCTTGTGAGGTAGGTTAGGTTGAGAGGTGGGCCACACAGTGAACTTCATGGCTAAGTGAGGATTTGAACCCTTGGGTAGTAGTCTGACACTCAACCACACTGGCTCTTTTTATTTCTCTCTGTAAGCCTGAAGAGCAACAATAACCCATTGCTAATATCACATCTTGAGAAAGGGGTTGAATGCTACTGTAATGTTCGGACCTTTTCTCCATACTCTTATCTTGAGCTGCCCATGTAAGCCTGCCTGGAGTTCTTCTGACATTCCCCTTGCAAGGTTTGTAACTCAGTCATCCTCCAGCAAGGCCTCTTGGGAGCATCAGCTGGTAATCCTATTTTGTGGCTACAATGCAGCTTTTGAATTTTTCTGTGAATATAGGCCCTTCACTCTAGCTGCTGGAGAAGTCTACAGTGTTTATCCAGGGGAGGAGGACTTGCAATGTACCATACTGTGGCTCTTTGCAAAGGCTGGTTCTCATCTAACAGGCCTGCATTTTTTAAAATACCACTTGGTTAGCAACAGACACAACCTCATTTGTGCCTCTTTTCCTCCTACCAGTTATATGCCTGCCAGATCTCTCTTAATTCTGAAAACTCATTCGCTCAGTGATTGTGTCCAGGAGAGACATTGAGATTCTGGGGTAGGGAAGAGAGTTGATATTGTGGCAGAGGGGACTCTCAGCACTTTGCATAGATGCCTACCTGTGCGTAGGTTTGGATTGCACAAATTCGGAGCCTACGCGCCTTGCACAAAGGCAAGAATAGAAATGTGATGAACAACGCATGGATGTTGGGCGTGCTGGAGAGGCAGGGTCAGTTGGCATGATTGTGATACCCCACTTTTATAGGGAAAACCAGCATTTGCAAGGACCATTGAGTCAGAGACCAGTGGTGCATTCAGACCCATCAGAATACTGACTGAGGACCACATGGGCAATTGCCATAGTGTTGCCTTGTTTCCCTGGTTGGGTAAGGGACAGTTTTATGACAGCTTGGGCGCCTTCATACTCCTAGTCTACTATAAGAAAAAAGATTAGGAGAGCAGTGTGCACAGAACTCTGTAGCTGCCATAGTGCAAGACTTGATTTCCCCAACAGGGAAACATACAGTGCTCTTACGGCTGCGGGGTGGAGAAGCAGTATTTGTGAGCTATGTGAGTGAGGTAACCCCCACAATTACTTGCTTGTGAAGCTGTTTAATGCTTTTCTACAACGGAGACACTTGTGTTTTCACTTGGTCTTGCTAGAAAAATGTTGCTGTCTTCATAATGATTCACAGATGTTGTTAAATGTCTTGCTGAGTTGGTGTAAGCCGGGCTTTAAAACGCTTCCAAACGGAGACGGAGAATGTTTTATGCCATATTTACTGTGAATAAGTAGGAGCACTTAAGTACCCGAAAATGTTCCTTTTTAAATTTGTGCGCAATATAAGAATGTGACTGGGTTTTAGTGTTCACAGTAGTTTTAAACTGAACATTACCCACTTTTTTCTTCTTTCTCACCAGAACAATCATGTTTGAAATTAAGAAAATCTGCTGCATTGGTGCTGGTTATGTAGGTGGACCAACGTGTTCTGTCATTGCACATATGTGTCCGAAAATTAAGGTCACTGTTGTTGATGTCAATGAAGCTAGAATCAATGCATGGAATTCCGATACGCTTCCAATTTATGAGGTAACTGAATTGTAATAATGCAATTTTCCATTCTTACCTTACTATACTTGTCTTGTCACATATCTCTTCCGGGCTGTATCTCATTGTTAGATGCCTCCAGAAATGTGTGCTTCCTTTACTTTTTTTTTTTTTGCTATCGCTATTTTTTAATGCTATTGTCATTATTAGCATGTGTATCCCACTCTTCCTCCAAGGAGTTCAGGGTGGCAAAAGACAGGGACATCCCATTTTACCTTCACAACAGTCAAGTAGAACGGAGCAGTAGTGACTGACCCAAGGCCACTTAGTGAACTTCATGATGGAAGGGGAATTTACTAGTAATATAATAGCAAAAGAGGAGGGCTTGGACAATGGCTAAGCAGTGAGTCATATGCAACTCTTCTAAGAGCTTGAAATCATTTGTGCCCCTTTAAAGAGGTGCTTAACTTTGCACTAGGAAACAGAGCACAACCAGCAACATATCACAAGATGTAGTGTGGACTGCTCTCTTTTAGTTGCACAAATAGCAGGAAGGAAACATAATTAAAACTGCAGGTGTGGGCACAGACCTGGAATTCAAAGGAAAAACTCTGGCCTCTTTTTTTATGTGTAAGAGTCATATAACACATCCATGTCATTGAAAAGGTTGAGTTCCTTGATGTGGCTTAGCTCCCCGAGCCAGAAAAGTAGCCAAGTTTGTTTGTAGAAGGAACAAGAGGCACTCAATCCTTTTCACTCTATGAGGCACAAAATTGAATTGAATGTTAAAGGCTGGAAGTTGTTCCAAGTTTACAGGATTCTGCTTCAGGACAGGGTTATTTTCAGGCTTCTCTAAAGAACATAACACTTTACGAAAGATTATTCTTTTGCTAATTAGGGCCTGGGTTTGCCATTTGGTTATTTAAAATGAACATGCATTGCACATCCAGGAATTGCACAATTCTGTGAAGAGTCAGCACATTCTTTCTGATTGTAGAGCGGTGATTCAATTTTATCTACCTCACAAATGGTTTATTAATGGGAAACATGTCTGTTTCAAGACATGGGGAAGTGGTTGACACTGACATCAGAGCAGTGGTTAATGCTGTTTTAGGGTACACTGGCAGAAGCACAGCCATGTTTTTCAATAGAACATTGAATTATTGTTTCTGTTTAGAAAATTGCTGCAAATTGTGGCACAGAATTACACTAAATGACATGTTATTTTTAGTCAGTCTTCAAAAAGGGATGGGGCACTTAGAATTCTGAGTTCCTTAAAATTATTGGGATTTAAAGCGCTTCCTTATTTTTTGAATATATGACCCGATAGGGTTGCTATCAAAGGTTGTTGAGCTTTTTTTAAGGAAACTCTTGACATTGTTGAGCTTCTTTTTACAAAAACTTGCCTAAAATCCAGGACAAAGAACCACCTTTGAAATCCTGGGGGAAACCAGACCTATGGCAGCCCTATTACCTGAATATGTTACTCTTAAAACAGCTGCTGGAGTTTATAGTTCAGGTTGCATCAAGGGTAAATAATGGCAAGTGGCCTTTGTTAAAGCCCTGTTTCTCTGGATGAGTTAAATTTTAATCCAGAGTATAAAGTATATATACTGAAATGGCTCAGTGGGAACTGGGTATGCTTCTTAATACAGTGGTAGCTCGGGTTAAGTACTTAATTCATTCTGGAGATCCGTTCTTAACCTGAAACTGTTCTTAACCTGAAACATCACTTTAGCTAATGGGGCCTCCTGCTGCTGCCGCGCCGCCGGAGCACGATTTCTGTTCTCATCCTAAAGCAAAGTTCTTAACCCAAGGTACTATTTCTGGGTTAGCGGAGTCCGTAACCTGAAGGACCTCTGGAACAAATTAAGTACATAACCAGAGGTACCACTGTACATGCCAGACATTGTGGTTGGGTTTGCACAGAATACTAAACCATGTTTTAGGGTTGCATGTACGAATTTATGCAAGCCCATCAGAGCCTCTGGTCTGAGCAGTCACCTCTCCTCCTCCCACAGAGGCTGGGAGGAACAATGAGCCCAGGATTCAGTTTTGCTTTCCCTGATTCTTGACATTTTTATCTGCAGGCCAGAAATCCTGGTTTATGATAAACTCCAGTTAATTGGAAAACAAACCGACTTCACACCATGGTTCTGAAGTGGGCTTCTTTACCAAACTAGAGTTTATTTTGAACAATGATTCCTGGTTTGTTCATGATCACAAGCCAAGCATTAGAACAAAATATCTCGATCAAAGGGGTTGGGGGTCTCTTATGGGGAATGCTTGCTGCTTGTTCAGGTATAAAGCACATTTTAACCCTTAAATAACTTGCCGATGTTTTTCCAGCCAGGGCTAAAAGAAGTGGTAGAATCCTGCAGAGGAAAGAATCTCTTTTTTTCTACCAGCATTGATGATGCCATCAGAGATGCTGATCTTGTGTTTATTTCTGTAAGTAATTACTTTCCCCCTTGAATAATGCTAGGGGCAGAGATTTTGGGAAGTGGAAGAAAATAGTCTCTTTCTCCGTCTGTCTTAATAAGCTACTCTCAGCTGGCTGGTTCGTGTTAGGGAGGGAGTGGTTTGCACAGATATACAAAAACCTTTCTGCCCTTTTTTGTGAGTTCCACAAGCACAAATATAAATAGTAGCAGCACTGACAATTTTGTGTGGTGCCTGCAGATTTAAATGGTAGTTTAAATAATTTTGCTTTCAGATAGGAGTTCTTCCTAACCTTACCTGAAAATATCAAGGTTTAAATCTGGGACTTTTTGTGTGGAAAACATGTACTGTACTCCGTCACTGAGTCATAGCCCATCCCATAAAAAGTGTTGGGGGTGAGGAGAGAATGCCACGACTGGACTTTGAAAAATGAATTGCAAATCTCATCTTGTTAACAGTATGTTCTAGATAATCAACAAATTGGAAATCAATGTTCAGAATTCTTTTGTGTGTTGGGATTCAGACATTTCAGCTGCTGAAATGCACTCCTTTTCCTAATTTAAGAGAAAACGACTCAAAGGGTATGGAGAAGCAAAAAGCAATTTTAACTCCAGAATAAAGATTTCAGAGCACTAAAGTTGAAGAGATGCCATGAATGGCCTTTTCATAACTTGGGCATGAGCTTAGGGATGCTTCTTCAGTAGCTGTGTTGTGATAGATGGCTCTGCTAGCTCTTTCATTCACTGTGCCAGCCAGCAGCTGGATGAACAAATGGAACAGAAATCTCTCTATGTTGGAAGGAAATATATCGGCAGTTCTTTTTCATGGATGCAGCCATTCACATAAAGAGGATGCAAGCTGTACTGAGGCCTGTTTTAAACTATTTTAAACTACTTTTTCTGTGAAGCCTCCCCCCACTCCCCAAACCTGGAAAGGGTTTTCTTCATTCAATAAATTAGGGTGCATGCAAGCCGTGTGACTATATGTGTTTCTGTGTTTCTTTGGGAGAGGTGGCCTGTTTCAAGAGAAAAAAAAGAACAGCAGAGTCCTTAAGTTGAGCAGGTGAGAGAGCTAGTCTGATCTTAAAGCTCTTATAGGCATTTGGCTTTGCCACATAATCTGCATTGAGCTGTGCTGAAGAGGCCTCTGGTGGAATCCCTGAAAATTCCTCCTTTGATTGCAGCTTAATAAATATACTCAGGCTGAATCCCTGCCTGATGTTATTCCTCAAACACCAACTGAGATTGTAGGCTTGAAGGCAAATACACCACTGTAGTACCTATTTTAACATCTGGACTTTAATGTAAATTTGGTTTCCTTAGTTAGCCAAAGTTGAATGAGAATTTTCTATTAATATGACAGCCAAGAAAGGGGAAATCAACGTTTTTTCAGCCTCCTAAATAAATGTCCTTTGCTTATACCTGCAACCAGGTTAATACCCCAACAAAGACCTATGGCATGGGAAAAGGTCGGGCAGCGGATCTGAAATACATTGAGGCGTGTGCGAGACGGATCGTGCAGAACTCAAACGGATACAAAATTGTGACTGAGAAAAGCACCGTCCCTGTCCGTGCTGCAGAGAGCATTCGTCGTATATTTGATGCCAACACGAAACCTGACTTAAATTTGCAGGTAAAATAACCATTTTGAATTGAGTGCATTTTGATCTCTCTCTTTTAATGCATTTGGGATTGGACTAGATAACCCATGGGGTGTCCCTTCCAACTTTATCATTCTGTGATTCAGATTCAGTCTTTGGTCTTTGTGTGCAGGTTCTGTCTAACCCAGAATTCCTAGCTGAAGGCACAGCAATCAAAGACCTGAAGAATCCAGACCGTGTGCTGATTGGTGGAGATGAGACGCCCGAGGGTCAGAAAGCAGTTCGCGCTCTGTGTGCTGTCTATGAGCAGTGGGTGCCCAAAGAGAAAATCCTTACAACCAACACTTGGTCATCTGAACTTTCCAAACTGGTTGGTATCCTTCGAAATTCTGACATTGACCAAGTAGAGAAAGTATGAAGTATCGGCTTAGCAGTGTTAGATCTTTGGTATTTCGTTAGCCTCTGAAAAGCGCTGTTACAAAATATCAGAGAAGAAGCAAGTTTCATCTGTCTGTTTCCACAAAAAGGCTTTTGCTGCACCACTGATTCGTACTCCCAAGGCATCATACAAAGGTTGATGGCATCTGGGCAATATTTACATGGTGTGACTGTCTGTAGCATGTTGATCCCAAGTCCTCAGCTGCTTTATCCATGACTGTGTGGCCCACTGGTCAGATCAGGGTTGTTAAGTCAGTAGCAGCCAGAGGCTCCCTAGGAGTACCAAGGTCCTTAGTAGTAGCAGAGCAGCCCATGTGAATAAGCCTTGAAACTGCTGCCTTGGCTTGGGAAAATCCCACTGCTGTTTACAGTCAAACCTCGGTTCCTGAACGCTTCCATTTTGGAATGTTTCAGCTCCTGAATGCCAAAACCCCGGAAGTAACTGCTCCGGTTTTCAAATGATTTTCAGAAGCTGAACATGCTACACTGCTTCTCTTCTGAGTTTCCCTACTGCATTGAGGCTTCCGCTTTCAGTTTGCGGTTTGTCAAACGTTTCAGAAATCGAACGGTCTTCCAGAACGGATTACGTTCGACAACCGAGGTTTGACTGTACTTTAAAGTTGATTTTGCTGACTGAGCACAAACTACCGGCCTTCATCAGAAGAATTTTGCGACAAGCCCTATTTCATTTTGGTGGGGTTAGACAGTGCCTATTAGAAAACCTAAAGCAAATTAAATCCAGCACCAGGTGGGTTTATAAAGGAAGAGATCCGAAACAAGGGGCCTGTCACTGGCTCTCGTGGCTTTAGAAGTAAACTTGGCAATCAGTATCTCAGGATACTTATTGCTTTGTCCAGTTCCAAGTTACACTATCAGGTAATGTGATAAGACATATGTGCCTCTGGTATTGAGGAATTGTGTGGGGGACTGTGGTTCTGATAAAGAAGTCATTATGCTCCTTTAAAGTAGCTATGTTCTAACACAGATGTAATATAATAAATAGCTTTGCTAATAAAGATATATGGATTCTCTAGGACCCACTTTCTAACATTCCGTTCCCATAATAGATGTACTGTCACACTTAATCTGTCGTCCGCCATTCATTTCAGCAGAAAGTAACATTCTGAGGTTGTTTTCTTGTTTCTTTGTCATCTCCAGGCAGCTAATGCTTTCCTCGCCCAGAGAATCAGCAGTATCAACTCCATAAGTGCTCTTTGCGAGGCAACAGGTGCGGACGTTGAAGAAGTTGCAAGAGCCATTGGAATGGACCAAAGGATTGGAAGTAAATTTCTGAAAGCCAGTGTTGGTAAATGCTCTCTCTCTCTCTGTTTTTCTGTCTTGGTTGTGACTTTTGGCAATATGGTGTTTAGACAACAGGCCTTTCTAAACATGAGTTTTGTGGCCTTCTTAAGTCTGGTCTTCAACCCAGATTATTCTCAATAACAGTTGCCAATTTTTTTTGACGTTTTCCAAATGTGTAATTCCTTTTTTGGACTCTAGCTACAAAATCCTGCTTATTTTAACAAGACATAGAGTGTTCTCGGGAGAGAAACTTCTTAAGCATATTCATTTATTTGGAAGGCTCTTAAAACTGGTCAGCATTGATCCTGAAGCAAATAATTTTTTTGGTTAGCTATTGCTGGATATAAAGGTATCCATCAGGTGTTTTTAAGGTTGCAAACACCTGGGAATAAGCTCCGTTGAACTCTTTAGGGGTATGCGTCTCATTAAATGTACCTAGGATCAGAGTGCACAAAGAGAAATCATACAAGTGGAGTAATGAGGTTCTTCCTCCCCCATACAGGATTTGGTGGGAGCTGTTTTCAAAAAGATGTTCTGAATTTGGTTTATCTCTGTGAGGCTCTGAACTTGTCAGAAGTCGCTCGTTACTGGCAACAGGTAAGAATGTATGCAGTGGAAATTAAATCTCTTAATATAATTACTCTCCTACCTTGTTAGCAAGTGTTTTGTTAGAACTGAGAATAGCATCTATTTTCACATCACTAATACTTTTGTTAATACTCCTTTTGCTGCTTTTCAGAACCAAATTATTTATCACTTTTGAGTCCCATTTGGGAAGAAAAACTATTTTCAAATATGGCAACATTTTCATTCATTTATATAGCTTTGGGATTGAGTGACAGTCTTACATCAAATACATTGCTTGGAAATAAGTCCTATTGAAGCCAACAGGGCACTGCACAGTAAGGACTGATGTAGATATACCTGGACGAGCACTTTGGGCATATTGGACCAGTCTTTTAGGCAGCAAGGAAACTACCCAGGGGAAGCAAGTAGTTGGAGTGCCCGTAGAGGAATTTATGGATTTGGCAATGGGTTCTATAATTCTATAAAGTAAAAATCCAGAGATACAAAGTTCAGGGTTAGCATGGAGAAGGAGAAGCCAGTGTACAACAGAATCTGCACCAGCAATTGCTTAGGGTGAAGCTGACAACCTAAGCAGTCTGCCTCACCCAACTACAAAAGTAGTCCCGGAAATTGACCTCACAAAATGTGCCTAGTTCTGATTCTTTCTGAAAGTCAGACTGCCCAGAGGGTAGGACATAGGCCACTAGTGATCCATTTTTTTCCACTTGCAGAAATTGGTAGGGAGGAGGAAGCTAGGGCCCCAGGAAATTTGACCTCTTGGTGTGGAATGGGCCTCTGGCACTGGGGAGGAAGCAGATTTCTACAACCAAAGGTCCTACAGGCTTGAAGTAATCACAAGATCGGCTTTTTCTCCTACTGGGTTCAGAAATTAACTAGCCACATTGGCCTTTTCATTATTATTTTTTAAGAGCATGGGTTGGATCCAGACTATTAGTTGAACTTAAGTCACATTGAAATCAGCGACACAAGTTAGTCATGATTTAACTGTTCTCATTCAGATCTATAGGACATAAGTGCAACTCACTGAAGACTAGATCCAGCCTCCTGCTTCTAAGCCATGTTGTAGAGAAACATTTGAAATGCTGAGTGATGAAGAGTGGGAGTTTGGTGGACATTTCTGCTATCTGGATCCCCGTCATGGTCTTCTGTGATCAAATCAGAATAGCCCAAATAGCTGCTTTGCTGCCGTGATATTGCTCCTAACTTTAAAATAGCCATTTTAGACCAAATGTGACTAGGAAGAATGTGTACATTAATGCAGAAGAAGCACACGTGTACATGTAATTGATCTGCATGCATTTTCTTTATCCTTTGGCATTTGAGATCCTGCGCACTCCTTTTATCAAGTGCAGACTCATGGAAATTACTACTAACATTGCATTACCCTTGATTTAGATTCAGGTAGGTAGCCGTGTTGGTCTGACGCAGTCGAAATATAACTGAAGAAGTGTGCATGCACACAGAAGCTTATACCAAGAACAAACTTAGTTGGTCTCTAAGGTGCTACTGGACAATTTTTTATATATATTACCATTGATGTGGCTCTCTGCTTCCAATCCAATTGCAGGTGATTGACATGAACGACTATCAGAGGAGAAGATTTGCTTCTCGGATCATTGACAGCTTGTTTAACACTGTCACCGACAAGAAGATTGCTATTTTGGGATTTGCATTCAAGAAAGACACCGGAGACACAAGGTAACACAACGTGAGCTCAAGACGCAGTTGTAAAAGTTACCTGTTCTCTGAGCTGCTTCATGCCATGAGCCAAAACAGACCCAACCTGCGTTCAGAGGAAAACAGGACACTGTTCCCAAAATAAATGCCAAAGATTGTACCCTAAGGTGTTGCACTGATATAAAGCTTCCATCAGCAGAGTGAAGAGGGGAGCTGTTTTCAGCACATTCCCTAAATTTGCTCCGGAAGGAAGCCCTTGAGGAAGATTTGGGTGAGTGGGTCTGCTCGGGGGGCTGTTGGAGGGAGGGGAAACTGCTGGACACAGCTGCTTTCCATTCTGCTGACAGAAGTCTTCCCCCCCCCCCCAGTGGAGCAACACTGTTGCATACAACCTCAATAACTTGTTTACTACTGCAGCATTATTGCCCATCTTTCTATTCAAAAGGCTCTTTGTTTTTGAACGAGGTCCCTTTAACAGTCTTGCTGCATAACCTATGGACAGTCTCAGTTGCGTGAACTTTAAAATCTCTTTTCCAAGCAGCGATGTAGCTTATGAAGAGGAGAACTCCACAAGTAAAGGAATATGCCGTATGAGCCTCTGCTTCTCCCACTGATTCACTGGAGGAGAAACCCTTGCATTTTGGGGAACTCCTCTACCAGTTCTGAAAACATTAGATGGGGCATGTGGGACTGTGCCACAATGGGGAAGGGCAGTTACCTGAGATGCTCCCATGTCCCAAGGAGAGAAGGTTGTGCTCACCAACTTTCTCCCCCTGACCCTGACCCTCGATTGGTTGAGTCAGGGAATTCCCCCTCTTTCATCTTCTGGCCCTCACTTTTGACTCTAGAGAGAGATGTGCAGTTGGCGCATGTTGCAACAAGCTTGTGCCTTGAGACACTGGTTTCTCTGAATCTGAGTTTCTCCCTAAAGGGGGCAATTTGCAGGAAACGGTTGCTAAATTCTCACAGGCCCATCAGTCTCCTGTGACCCATTTGCCTTTGGGGTTTTCTTGCAGCCACTTACCCATGCCCCCTGGGCAGTCTCCAGCCTCTTTGGCCCACCCATCAATCATCCCTGTAACCCAGAGGGATATGTTGCATAGAGATTCCCAAAAATGGGGAGAGGTTCCGACTCAAGGTGGAAATTCTGCCCTACTAAAGAGGGGTTTTTTCTGGCCAGAATTCCAAGAACTGCACAACTAGTTCCTTGTGCCCTAGGACTTGTCTTAAACAGTAGCCTGCTCCTGCAGACACTTGTGCAAACTGCTTTTGAAACCAAGGTGACTTTAAGAAGTAATTTGTGCTATGGCATGGGGTATGTCCACTAGGTATGTCCAAGCCCTAGGTGCCCATAAAAGTACTTTTTGCATTCTGCTCTTTGTAGGTTCTATCTTTATGGGTTCAAAATGTCATCTATAGGACTCTGAGGGCTAGAAACATTCTTGTTATAACGTGAAAAAAGAAGGCTGTGATAGTTAAGAATGGGAATTCTGTGGCAGACACCAGTTTCTAGTGAACAAAAGGGTAACTTTCTTGGTTTTGAGTTCATGATACAAGCCAGGTAATTGGATAACAATATACAGTGGTGCCTCACAAGACGAAATTAATTCATTCCGCGAGTTTTGTCGTCTTGCGATTTTTTTCGTCTTGCGAAGCACGGTGTCGGAAAAGTTTTGGAAAAGCTTCAAAAATCACCAAAGTCTTCAAAAACCTCAAAAAAGGCTACCACACCGCGTGCTATGAGTTGCTCCTCGAAGTCAAGTCGCAACTGTATTAACGGTGTTAAGAAAAAGGAAACAAACTTGCAAGACGTTTCCGTCTTGCGAAGCAAGCCCATAGGGAAAATCATCTTGCGAAGCAGCTCAAAAAACAAAAAACCCTTTCGTCTTGCAAGTTTTCCGTCTTGCGAGGCATTCGTCTTGCAAGGTACCACTGTATCTGATAGGATAGATAATTTCCCCTTGACCTGTTAAATTGATGGAACTTTGTTATTTACCCGAGCTTAGCTTATTTGGAGCTCTGATTTATCTGCCCAGCAATTGTTCTTGCCTTGTGGTGAGTTCAATGCACATTTAAAGCTGGCTGTGCAGACAGATGTTCATCCAGTTGCTCAGTAGTGCAGCTTGATTGAGTTTTAGTGCTACAGACCTCACAAAAGATCAAAAACCAGTCTGATGGGGCAACGGACCATACAGTGGAAGCTGAACTGTGTATCCAGTTGTAATGCATGAAAAACAGATTTTGGTCATATAAACAGGTGATGTGGAAGATCATATTTGGCGCAAGTTAAAAGGGGGGTTTAATTAAGGCTCATGTTAAGACAGTGGAATAGTATGAGACAGAGGAGGAGGGAGTTGTATTTTAAAAAAATGTTCTGGAGACACTGGCTCTAATATAATATAGTTTCTGTATAATCTGCAGCTAATTTGCCATCTGATAACTTCTTTTCTAGTTACCTTTGGCCTGGAGTGGCCCTTCTCTGTTTATGGCTTTAGGATTAACAGAGTAAGCCAAGGCCATGACTCAGCAGTAATTCCCTGATTTTACCATTTGAGTTGCCAAACACTCTGTTAACCACAGATTTTAAGAGGAAAAGATGGCATTTTTTTGAGACCTTTACAGTGCAGAATGGCAAGCTTGGAAAAATGTTGTGGCAAGGAGGGAAAAGCTGGTGAAAAGCTGTGTTTTGTTTCTATTCCTTGTTTATTCATTTGGTTTTGCTACTAGCAATATAAGACTTACTCTTGCAAGATAAGACTATGACAACAAGGGACACTGTTTCCCCAGGTTTGTCCAATCATGATGGTCATGCAAATGATTTGATTTCTGGGAGGCTTCAGATGCCAGATTTATAGTGCTAGCCTTTGTCTGTTTACTTGGAAATAAAGTTTCATTGTGTTCAAGGGGACTTACTCCTTAGTAAGTTAAGATCCTGTAGGACACCAACTACCTCCTGCCCACTTGCATTCCACAAATCACATTGCAGCTTGTAGTTACCAAATGCAACTTTCTCATGAAGCCTTCTCAGTAAAAAGTTGATGGGGTTGTTTTTTTCTGTAGAGAGTCCTCCAGCATCTACATCAGCAAGTATTTAATGGATGAAGGAGCGAAACTTCATATCTACGACCCTAAAGTGCTAAAGGAACAAATCATTCTAGATCTTTCTCATCCAGGTGTATCTGAAGATGATCAAGGTGAGTGGGGCTTGCTTTTTACAAACTCCTCCAGCTCTGAGGGTATAGGCTTGTCTGTACAATAAAAACAAGCTACTCTTCTTCTTCTTTGGCGATCACTCGTAGCCGATTGTCTTCCATGAACACAGTCTTAACAGCGAGTCTCTAAGTGACTGTGGAGGCTAATTCTGGATCCACGCGTCCTTCCACAGTGGGGACATAGGTTTCTGGGTGCGATTTGATCACAGGTGAGGGTTTGCCAAGCATGCCTTCCTCTTAGCACGTTTCTCCTTTTCGCCCTGAGTTCGTACTTCTTCAAAGTCCATGACACCTCTGGTAAAGGCTGTTTTCCAACTGGAGCACTCACAGGCTAGTGTTTCCAAGTTATCAGTGGGAAACCCTTTAAAACTAGCAAAACCTAGAGCACATTCCTCCTTCCATCTAGTGCAGGACATTTTGGAGTAAAGCTGTTTAAGAGTCAGAAGTGAAGAACACCGATGTGTCCCTTGCAAGAGGTAATTTCGCAGGACTGAGGCATAAACTGGAAAACTCCTGTTCCTTACTGCCGACAACTCAAATGCTCAAACGGAACAGGCCTCCCATTGATAACCATATAAGGCAAGCGAGCTGATTTGTTAGGCTGTAATTAAAGTTGAGTTTGACCAAACTGCAGGAGACAGTGGAAGACAGGAGTGCCTGGCGTGCTCTGGTCCAAGGGGTCACGAAGAGTCGGACACGACTAAACAACTAAATAACAAATAAAGTTGTAGGTAGGCTGTGTATCTGTGGAAAGTGGGGTTGGGGCAATTCATAGTATGGTATGTGGGGTCCAGAGACACTTATTTTGTTGAGTTTTAAAGCACGTTTCTAGCCCTCATCACTATACCGTTATGCTTGTAAAGGAGATGAATTTATTTGACCCTATCTACATCAAGCTATATTTTATCCTTATCATCAAACTCTGAATATAATTACACACTGTATTAACATCATTTTTTAATATATTAGTGGCCATGTGATAATTTTTGCTTATAAATTTTATAGTTTAATGTCTGAATTTGTATATTAAGGTACTTTTATAGCTCTGTTTAGAGTAGGTAATGTCTTGATAACATAAATGTTTTAAGTTTTTTGTATCAATCCAGTATATTTTCTTTTAATTGTGGAATGATTCTGTGTACATTGCGGCAGCCTTTGGCTATGTGCAATAAAACTGACTGACTGACTGATTTTCAGCACTTGAGGTGTGCTGCAGCCAAAATTCAGCCATCCTCAGTGCTCGGCTTTAGTTACTGATTTATTAGTACAAAGTACACAGAGTCCTGACTGTAACTGCATACTGAAGTATAATAGCAGAGATCGCAAGCTATTGCCCAGTCAAAGTCCTTTATGCTTTCTAAGTGCTCGGCAGAATAATCCTAGGCTGTCACTGTACTACGACTAGAAAGATGGTGCTGCTGAAATGGTGGGACAGCTGCCATCACCAGTGTGTGCTCAGTCTGGAAAAGGAGAGGCAAAATGCACATGGCAGGGAAAGAACAGGCATGTCCCCAGTGTCCCTGGAAACTGCCAGTGCCCACCAGTTGGGGACTGTCCTACTGCCAGTATCCAGATAATGCCCATACATTGGGTGGGTGGGGGTTATGAATTCTCCACAACTGATACACACGCATGCCAGCATCGACACATAAGCATCACACAGGATCATACGACGATGCCTCCATTTGATCAGCCCCAATGGCACAGCAACCAACAGCCCAACTGCTCCCAGTCCCCAGGCAGCCCTCCAGGCGGGGGTGTGGAGCTCCTCCTATGCCTTTACCACCTTTGCTTTCAAGCCCAAAGGGGGGAGAAAGAATCACCACCCACCACCCATGTAGTTACTGGCTGGGATGCCTTCAGACATCACACACAGCCCTTCTGGGCCAAGAGTTCAAGACCAGCCTGTGGAATGGTTGGCAGCATGTTCCATCAGTGCATCTGAAGCCTATCCATCACAGCAGCGAGATGAGCGCCACGCACCATAGTCAAATTTGACTGGAATTTACTGTCCAGGGGTCCTTTACAGCAGCGGTGTATCTGTCCTTGATTTAAAACATTTTCATCCTCTCCTTCAGCCAAAAAAAACCTCCCCAAGTGGCTTACTTGTGTCATTGTGGTTTGTTTTTGCCAGCAACATAGACCCTGTGCCGGCAAATCTTTGGCATAAAATGGTGCCACAAATCTCTCATTGAAATCAATTCACAGTTATAACCTCGGAGAATACTATGAAGATGATGTGCAGATGGCATCAAACCCTGGCAAAACTTGCCAAAATGTATAAAAACAGATTACCCATGTGTTGGAGATGTAAAAAAGAGAAAGGGCCCTATCTACACATGTGGTGGAATTGTATAGAAATCCATGAATTTTGGAATAATATATACAAAGAACTCAAAAAAACTACTTAAACTTACTTTTTTAAAAAGACTGGAAATTTTCCTCCTAAGCATGCTGCCAAAGGAACTTGGAAAATCAAAAAGACAATTGACCATGTATGGGATAACAGCTGCCAGAATATTAGTGCCAAGAAACTGGAAGAGTCAATCAATATAGCGAATCAATATAGCGAATCAATATAGCGAATTGGCAGAATCTAATGGTAGAATACCTGCAGCTAGCAAAGATGACAGAAGGAGTTAGAGGTCAGACAAAACACAGAGACTATAAGGAATGGAGAATATATAAAGAATACTTAGAAAATTATGGTGTAAACAGAAATCTGGCAGAATTAGACTGATCCTTGAAATTCATAAAATGTAACTGAGGTATAATGAAAAATCACAAGAAACAGGTAACTGTGCGGTATAATGTATATAACAGATAAAGTACAATGAGAATACTTGGAAGTCTTTTTAAATGTTTGCAGCACTTTTTATTTCTAATTGTGTGAATAATCAACGTATTAACAAAATACTTAATGTTGAGGAATTCCATAATTACGTATGTTTTTTCTTTTATTTTTTCCTTGATTTTTATACCCTTGTCCTTATCTTGTGTTTTTCTTCTTTCTTTCTTTCTTTCTTTCTTTCTTTCTTTCTTTCTTTCTTGTGAAAGAAATGGCAAATACTGTATGATGTATTCATTTTAACTCAATAAAGATTGACTAAATAATGAAATCAATTCACAGTCCTGCTGTTTCTCTCCCTCCCTGCTCCTTACAGTGTCTCGACTGGTCACCATTAGCAAAGACCCGTATGAGGCCTGTGATGGAGCCCATGCCCTAGTTATCTGCACCGAGTGGGACATGTTTAAGGTAAACAGAGTGCCATTTAGCAACATTCAGAAGAACCAGGGCTAGCAACTGCCATCCCTGAAACAGTTTCTGAGTTGTTGGGGTTTTTTTATATATGTATATAGGAGCTGGATTACGAGCGAATTCACAAAAAGATGTTGAAGCCAGCGTTCATCTTTGATGGCAGAAGAGTCCTTGATGACCTTCATAATGAATTGCAGGGCATTGGCTTCCAGGTAAGTTTTGCTTTTGCCCATCCACTAATTCACATTAAAATCCTTGCATGGTTTTAGAGGGAAGCAGAGCAAGGATTTGTGCAATCCCTACACCATCATGGCCTCTTTTGGTATTAATCTGAGTGTACTGAGATTGCTGCGTATTTTCTAGGCTTTATAGAATCATACAGTTAGAAGGGATCCTGGGGGTCATCTAGACCCACTCCCTGCAATGTGGGAATCTCGACTAAAGCATCCATGACAGATGGCCATCCAACCTCGAATGAAGGAGAGTCCACCACCTTCCAAGGGAGTCCATCCACTGTCAGAACAGTTCTTACCATCAGAAAGTTACAGTGGTGCCCCTCAAGACGAATGCCTCGCAAGACGAAAAACTCGCTAGACGAAAGGGTTTTCCGTTTTTTGAGTCGTTCCGCAAGATGAATTTCCCTATGGGCTTGCTTCGCAAGACGAAACATCTTGCGAGTTCTTGCGAGTTTGTTTCCTTTTTCTTAAAGCCACTAAGCTGTTAATAGCCGCTAATAGCCGTGCTTCGCAAGACGAAAAAACCACAAGACGAAGAGACTCGCGGAATGGATTAATTTCGTCTTGCGAGGCACCACTGTATTCCTGATGATTGTTTGGAATCTCCTTTCTTGTAACTTGAAGCCATATGATAAGTCAGAACATAGAAATGATTACCCGTGTTGTTCCAGGCAGGTATTGGTTTGTAGGATGTTGGTGGGCCTGAGCATGTCTTGGGCAATATATACCTTAGGCTGCATACTGTGGTGGCGCCTTGGGCCATGCCAGAGTCTTCAGCAGCAGTGAATTACACTTAGCTGTGGAGATACCTTTGCACAAACCGTGAGTCATCCCTAGATGTAGCTAAGTTACTTGGTCTAAACCACTGAGCCTCTTAAGCTTGCCAATCAGGTCAGTGGTTTGAATCCCTGTGACGGGGTGAGCTCCTGTTGCTGTGTCCCAGTTCCTGCCAGCCTAGCAGTTCAAAAGCACGCCAGTGCAAGTAGATAAATAGGTATCACTGCGGCAGGAGGGTAAATGGTATTTCTGTGCACTCTGACTTCTGTCACGGTGTTTCGTTGCGCCAGAAGTGGTTTAGTCATCCTGGCCACATGACCCGGAAAGCTGTCTGTGGACAAACACCAACTCCCTTGGCCTAAAAGCAAGATGAGTGCCACAACCCTGTAGGCACCTTTGACTGGACTTAACTGTCTAGGGGTCCTTTACCTTACCTTACCATGAACTTGCATGCTTTTGTCCTAAAAGTTGCCAATATTCTGAGTTACTGTAAATGGGGGGGGGGGCACCAGCTTGGCAAGCAACTAGAGGAAAAAATAAAGGATTCAGCAGAAAGCTTTGTACTCACACCAAGGATGTGGCTGACCATCCCATTCAGAATAACGAAAAGGTTTTCGTCCAGATCAAATTGGCTAGAAACCCGGGTTATTTATCATTTATTATCTTAGTTGTTAAATTTCTATACCGCTCTTCATCCAAAGATCACATGTTCTTTCAATATAAAAGCACAATCTGGAGCTCCTGTCTCAAGTGTGCCTGGTTGATTTGGGGTGAACTATTGTCTGCATTACGTAGGTCGATCTGATGTGCATGGTCCTGATTTTGGGTGGGGGACAGGAGTAAATTGTCTTTAGTTCCCTCATTATACTGTTGTAAGGATTTTAATACACCTTGTGAGAATAAGAACCAGCCTAAGGCGTTCACACATCCTCCCTGTCTTTGCAACATTTATCTGGCATAGAAGGCAATAGTTGTGGAATATTCTGGTTCAGATATCTGAAGGAAATATGTCTCTGAACTCTAGATATTGAAACCTTTCTGTAGCACTAGCAACATTCAGGATAAGGGAATTCCTACATTTTAAAAACAAGGGATCATCTGGCTTGAGTGCTGCCTTCTCTATGCACTGATCAGAACCTGGTAGAAACACACAAACCTAGGCATGTTCTCAGTCTTAGCACATTAGAGATGTTGGGATGGGGCGGGGCGGAGAGGGAAGCTTATGCCTGAACTGGCCTAAGAGGACCGTGTGACTTCAGAAGGTACTTGTGAAATCACATTTTGGGTCCTAACATCATTTTGGGAACACCAGCGATTGTATACTTTGTCTGACTTAACATCCCTATGTTTTGTTCCCTTTAGATTGAGACAATTGGGAAGAAGGTGTCGGCAAAAAGGATTCCGTTTGCTTCTTCATGTGACATACCAAAGTTTAGCTTGCAGGATCCTCCTCTGAAGAAGCCAAGGGTATAGGTTTCAATTGTCACAGAAGGGCTCTTCCCATGTGAGCTGTAAACCAGCATGAATTAAAACAAAAAAACGGGGGGAAATGGGACACAATGGAGCCAAAGTTAAGTGCTTGTCCTTTTGATATCAATGGGACAGGTAATCATGTCCTCAAATATTTCCTTTTGAGATCAACAGGACTAAAAACTACTTAACTCTGACTGAATCATGCTGAATATTTTCTCATAATGAAGACATTTTTTTCAATAATAGCATTGTAGCTGGGACATTTCAATCCAGAATCTGTTTTATAATCTCTATTTTTATAATACTGGAACTTTTGTCATTGAAGTGAAAAACTGTACAGTCATAGATGATTTTAGTAATTTTTATATATATATATAAACTCAGCTTCAACCTTCCAAGACTTCCTACTCTGTGAGGTTTACAAACTGCACTTTAAATTTTTATGATGTTGCAATCCAAAAGAGAAAAGGGATTTTCCCATCTTGTTTGATACGCTAATCTGTACTATGCCATGCAACATTGCTCATTTTAATTTGACTCTAGGCAGGTGTGGGCAGCTTGCTCAAGGATAGCTTCTCTTTTTACCATAATATGTGAACCACGGGGCTCAATGGAAGGTCTGTTGCTCCCATGAAACACCACATCTTCCTATTTTGGTGTTGGGATGGCTGCAGAGATGGGTTTTCGGGATCAGAAGGCAGCCTGAAGTCAATACATTCCTTGTGGTAACGTTATAATAAAATCAATGATTGATTATTTGTTATCCTGAGACTTGCTGCCTGGGACAAGCTGCCTCATTCCTATCCTGTCCTTTCAGCAGCAGGTTCTTGTCTATAAAATAACATGCCTCTATAGAACTGGCTGAAAATATGGTACTAAGCAGTGTATGAATCATACGCAATATAACTTTACAAACCTGAGAGCCCTATTAAAGAGGAATGGTCTGGATATGTGCTCTATATTTTGCTAACTGTTCTACCATTACAGCACGACTGTAACTAGCCACAAACCTGATCATCAGAAGTCATTAAAAATCCTCCCAAGGCAAGCAGGCAGATAAGCTTTTTACAACATGGAGTCTGTACTTTATTCTCTTAGGTACACAAGCATGGGCTAGTAGCTTTTACAGCCTCCGCTGAAAGTTAGAGAATAAGGAAGTTTTCATTTCCCGATTGTAGCCAAAAGCTGCTTCTATTTGGTTTCAACAACTTTTGATTTCATCCAGAAATAAAAGTGGTTTTTCCAAGTTTCTGCAGTGGCTCTGAAGTCAAATTCCTACTACAGCAAATGCTGTCTTTACTAGAAGATCACACTATGTCCAGTTCTTTCTAGATCATAGATTTAATTTTACTAGAGCAAGGGTTCTTAAAGTGAAAGCTCTGCATGTTGGTAAAAACAGGCAGATTCCTCCTTTCCCAATTAACCAGGGCATTGAGCTAGGAAGTGGAATTCCAATTAGCGCATTGTTAGTGGCTCTTTAATCTACACCCCCAATTCTATTCAACTTGCTAAAAGTCATACAACGGCCACCTGTTTTTAATTGTTTTTTGGGCTTCCTACATTCTTATACTTTGGGAGTGGAAGCATAGCAAAAGCTCACAATCCTTCCTCTTTCCTTCGATCAACTGCAAGCACTGCTCCCTAGAGCTGCCTTTCTGGCAAAACAGTCTCCCAAACCATTTTCATTAACATATTTTTTTGCATTAAGTCCAATTTCTGGAAGGGACATCACTCCTAAAGCAACCGCATATCGTTCATGACTGCCGTGAAACACAATGGTTTCCCACTGCTGTTTCAACACTTAACGCTCAAGAATATTGCCAGAACAAAAAGTTCACATAGTTCCAGCAGAACAGAACCTTATGTCATATGTTATAATCTGCTTACTACCTCACTGTGATTACAAAAATAAATCTTTGTCTACTCATTGGTAACAGTGTACTGTGATGCTTAGCTTTTTCCAGTATTAAGTTGGTTCTATTAAATACCTTTGGGGCGGGGGGGGGGGGGAACGACACATTCCCGGCGTGAGATATATAACGAAAACCATGGTATTCCTCCCAGCCCGAAAAAGGATCAATGAAGATGCTAAATATTACCAATGCGGTGTAATTTTCAAATGATATCATGCTGTTGTGAATCTGTTGAGGTTTCTGCTGTCCCACCCCACAATGAACAGACCTTCACTACACCTTATTACGGTACAGTTGTTTCATAAAAAAAAATATACCCATCCTTCCACCCCTAAATTGTTAATACAGTACACAGAAATTTCAGTGATCCGTACTGCAAAATGCAAGACTTAAGTGTGAAGTATAGAAATATGCCACATTTTTTAAAAACAAAACTTGATGGGGTTAGAAAAGAGGCCTTCTCCCCCTTGGAATTGATAAAACACCTCCTTAGATCAATAGCAATTCTTGGGTTTTAGTCCCAGCTGTGCAGTGCTTAATTTCTAACTGTTTATGTTTGGACAAAATTTCTAACTGTTTATGTTTGGACAAAATACTAAGATCAATTTTTCCTCCTCCGTAAGGGATAATTTCAATTTCCATAAAGATCCATTCCCTTTTCTTGAAATTGATTAGTTGAGACTGACATAAGGTATATTTAATTAGAGAAACCAAGCCAAATTTTCTGAGTTTTCTTTTGTACATCCAGTGGAGGTCCTTCGCCTTTGCACTCAGCGTCTCATACAATTTGTGTGCGCGCAGAGTGATGGTGACATCATAAAGAAACACTCATGCATGCAGCATTTGAACAGTTCCATTTAAAATCAGTTTGCTCTTTGAGCAGGAGCTCTTTTGTGGAAAGTTTCATATTGCATTGCCTCTTCAACAACAAGTGCTGTGTAAAAGCTCCAGTAAATGCTGTGTGTGGTTCATATCCACATCTTGGAATTGCAACCTATTGCTGATAATGCTATCACAAGCCCATGCTACACTGCTATCCCTATGTTCGCTAGCACACCTGCTGATGAGATCAAACTTTTCACAAAGCAATGTTTAAATAGTGAAACACTAAGGGATGCTACCAATGCATGGTAAAATCCAGCCAGATTTAACCATATATCTGTTTGATGGTAAAGGATGTGCTCTCTCAATAATCAATATTGACAATTTTGACTGTGCCTCATAATGTTTGCACATTGGCTTGTAGAATTTTTTTTTTAAATTGAAATGACAAGAGTGTAAATATGGGTGCATACAAAGTTTGAAGAAATGCTGCACACTGTGTTCAGCTGTTTATTACTGGTATTATCTGCAATATATTTAAAATATGCATCTAACTCTTAATTTTCCCAATGGGTATATCTCATGGTGCAGTTATTCCTTCACATGTTAGAAAGCAGAGGTTTTCTAAGGTAGATCTGTAGCACTTACTTAGAAAGAAGACCAACAAATCCCTTAGAACTTAATTTTGAATGTATATGTATAGGATTGCACTGTAAGCCATATAATACATATTAACATTTTTTAAACTACAGTAGAAGATAGCAGAGTTCAGAAACAACCTGAATAATTCATGGCTAAGTTTAAATGCTTGCAGGGGCAACGACAATAACAAAAGCATCTTGAATGTTCTTCCTTTATTTGTGATGCTGCCATCTGGAATCCATTAGAGTTGCAGAGTTCTCCCTGTGAACTTTTTACATTTCAGATGTCTTTCTTCTTCCTCTTCTGTACCAAATTCTTCAAGAAAAATTCGCCTGCACAGACAAAAAGAAAACATGCATCTATTTTAACAGAGTAGCAAGCATCTTGTGACTGTATTCTTTAGCCTGTGTTGTAGGAAAGAAACGAGCAGTAGCATCTACAGGAGGCAGCTGAAAAGAATCATAGCTGCCTATTCCTCTCAGTGCTGCAGGAATTAACCCTGTGTCAAATGGGGCAAGTCACATAAGTAAACTATTTCCCCCAGCATAAATCATCTTGGTTCTTAAAAGGTTTTAAATGAGAAAGACTTGGAATGTTAGGCAGCAGAAAAAAACAAGAGGCTTTCTAAACCTTCTGATGATATTTAATCAAAGGTAAGTCACACCAATGTCAATGTAATAGGATTGCTGCATTTAATGAGTATTTCCTCTTGCTGATCGGCTTGGCAAAGGAGCCGCTTTTGGATCGGGAAAGAGCAAACGTGGAAAACTTGCAGATGGTGGTTTCCCTGAAATTTTAACACTGAACAAGCAAGTGTAGGGAAATGCTAGCATTGTGGCAACTGCTGTTGATGGGGAGGGAGGTATTCAGTTGCTGTGCTACCCAAAGACTGCTAGACTATTTTGGATGGCTGTGAAAAGCATAAGGAATAGCACAATCCTTGTGTGGGTTATAGTTGTCAGGCATGGCTTCTCAGCATTTGTCACTCGCATTTCACACTGAACATTATATGTAACTCTGAGGAGATAGATAAATCTAAGGAGCAGCACAAGACCTATGGGCTGCACATTATTGGGTGCTTCGGTAAATCATGGTACAGCCAAAAAGCAAATGATAAAAACACCAGACCTTGAACTGACACTTCTATAAATCATGGAAGAGCCAGGAAGCAAATAATTTTTTTAAATTCTGGCCTTTAGCCATTTTTGGTTTTTTGCCATGCTTTCTGCAGCAAGTATGTTTGTTAAATTCACACCAGCAGATATAATCCCATGTTGAATGCAGTATGTACAAATTTAAAATAAAACTGAATTAGATCACTGTAGTTCACACTGCATATGAACTACTTGCTCTACTGCTTTTGCTGCCTAAAAGATTACAGCTATGAAGATCTAGATTTCAAACTTCGTAAGTAATATTTCCCATCTAAATTGTATAACACACTAAGGCTATAATCAGTGTCGTGTCTACTCAGAAGTAAGTCCCATTGAATACAGGTATTAGTTTAAAGGGAACTGTACCTAAGAGTTTGCAACAAAACCTGCAAGTTACTCACCAATCTATATCTGAATTTTAGCTATGGCCACAATCTATTGTATATTGCCTCTCTCCTATTGCCATTTCTCCACTGGCATGAAAGAACATGGTACAAAATGACGAATGTGAAGGACCGCACCCCAGGCAACTTGCAACACATGAGACAAAATGCCTAGGCCGATTATCTGACTATCATGGAACAAATAACATTTTCTATAAATCATGCCTGTCCTGTCCAGCTAGTCTTCAAAAGTAACATGACGGGCCATATTCAGTTCTACTAATGTTAAGGATTAGTGCAAGTGGATTCCACCCCAGTGCTCCACATCCAATTCTATGCCATCCCCAAATCTGTTCCAGAGGGTTGGGAGAACCCCGGAAAAGATTTAAGGGAGACCTAGAGGGAGAGAATGTTCTGTTGTGCAAGGAGAAATCCTTGTGCTGCACTCACAGAACATTTTGCTTAGTGTTACACTGAATAAAACCCAATGCCTGTACAGTGGTACCTCAGGTTACATACGCTTCAGGTTACAGACTCCGCTAACCCAGAAATATTACCTTGGGTTAAGAACTTTGCTTCAGGATGAGAACAGAAATCGCGCGGCAGCGGGAGGCCCCATTAGCTAAAGTGGTGCTTCAGGTTAAGAACAGTTTCAGGTTAAGAACGGACCTCCGGAACGAATTAAGTACTTAACTCGAGGTACCACTGTACATATAAAGCTAAAGGTCTATTGCACTTGCCGATAAGGGGAGAGGGCAAGTTTAAACTGAAGTTTGCATAAATTTATATAGTCCAGCTAATCTAGCAAACTATGTATCTCACCTGCTTTGTAGGAGGAACGCACAAGAGGCCCACTCGCAGTGTAATGAAACCCAAGATCATTTCCTACGTTTTCCCAATGTTTAAATTTCTCAGGAGTAATATATTCTTCGACCTGGATAGAAGAATACATTTTCATCATGATCCAGTCATTTCAAAATGCATATATCCCTAACCTTAACAAGCACAGACTACAACATCCACAACTAAATTGTACATGGATCTGTGTTCCAAAAGAAATTGAGGCTGGAATAATTGCCTCACCTTAAGATTCCCATATGGGACGCAGGTGGCGCTGTGGTCTAAACCACTGAGCCTAGGGCTTGCCGATCAGAAGCTTGGCGGTTCAAATCCCCGCGATGGGGTGAGCTCCCGTTGTTCAGTCCCTGCTCTTGCCCACCTGGCAGTTCAAAAGCACATCAAAGTGCAAGTAGATAAATAGGTACCGCTCCGGCGGGAAGGTAAATGGCGTTTCCGTGCGCTGCTCTGGTTAGCCAGAAGTGGCTTAGTCATGCTGGCCACATGACCCGGAAGCTGTCTGCAGAAAAACGCTGGTTCCCTCGGCTTATAGAGCGAGATGAGCGCCACAACCCCAGAGTCGTCTGTGACTGGACCTAATGGTCAGGGGTACCTTTACCTTTACCTTAACATTCCCATCCCAGAAGGCATATCCCAAGTCACTTCTAGCCTTCAGTCCAGAAAATGTGATATATTTTCAAACAATAAACTTCCAGTACAATTTTACCTTTAAATGGCGCTTTGTGGGTTGCATGTATTGTCCCAAGGTCAAACAGTCTACGTCAGCCTCACGTAATACTATAAAAATTAAACGTATATCTAGTAAATGACAGAAATATAGTATAGAATTGTTTATTCTTCCAAACTTCACTGATGCCTGTTTTTAAGCAGCATATTTAAGATAGCAGATAAAGTTAGGTTTAACTCCCTAAATGAGGAAGAAAAAAACCATATCAAAAGTTAAGAAAGAGACCCAAATTGAAAATTCTTTTCAATCTCCAATCAGCTTGCCCCATATCTGAACTCAATATGCAGGAATGAGTTTGCTTTAAGGAGTGAGCCTCAGAAATTGTGCATGGACAGCTTAGCATATGGCTATTGGAATAACATGCTCCAAAACTCAGCTATGGTCCCTACACAGCTTACAGTCATGGGAAAAAGAAAGTGCACCCTCTTTGTTGCAATGGCCCAGTCAAAATCCGGACCTCAATCCGATTGAAATGCTACGCGGGACCTTAAGAGAGCTGTTTATAAACAAATGGCAGCAAACCTCAATGAACTAAAGCAACATTATAAAGAAGAGGGGACCAAAATTCCTCCACAACAATGAGAGAGGTGGATAAAGTCCTACAGAAAACAATTACTTCATGTTATTGAATCATAAGGTGTATTTAGTTTTTCACACATGACTTTTCCATTTTGGTTTTATTTCTATTAAATAAATCACAACACAGTGTAATATGTCATGTGTTCTTCATCTGAGGTTGTATTTACCTAATTTTAAGACCTACTAAGGAACAGGTGAAGGGACGCGGGTGGCTCTGTGGGTTAAACCACAGAGCCTAGGACTTGCCGATCAGAAGGTCGGCGGTTCGAATCCCCGCGACGGGGTGAGCTCCTGTTGCTCGGTCCCTGCTCCTGCCCACCTAGCAGTTCAAAAGCATGTCAAAGTGCAAGTAGATAAATAGGTACCGCTCTGGTTGAAAGGTAAACGGCGTTTCTGTGTGCTGCTCTGGTTCGCCAGAAGCAGCTTAGTCATGCTGGCCACATGACCCGGAAGCTGTACGCCGGCTCCCTTGGCCAATAAAGCGAGATGAGCGCTGCAACCCCAGAGTCGGTCACGACTGGACCTAATGGTCAGGGGTCCCTTTACCTTTACGGAACAGATGATTGTTGTTATGTCTTCATATGTAAAACTACAGAATTCAAAGAGGGTGCACTTTCTTTTTCCTTGAATCTGTGAATCATGGCCTCTATCCACACAAAATCCTGACTTACATTTCAATGTGTTGTATATTTGTTCATCTGTTTCACCAAGACCAAGCATGATGGATGTTTTGGAAATTACATCAGGCTGAACTTTCTTAGCATGCTTCAAAACACTGAGGGACTGGTCGAAGTTAGCTCGAGGATCCCGAACTTTTCTTTAAGAAAAAAAAATAGTAAAGAATAATTTAGCATAACAAGAATGTATCTTGTCATACCTCTGAAAAATCCACTGGATTAGATGAGTCAAACTAAGGAAGAATACACAGATCAAGAATACCTTCTCAAACATTTAATTGAAAACTCATTCACAGTAACTAGATTGAAAGGGTTACAGGAATTTGGCAATGCCCATCACAACAACAACAAAAACTAGCCTTATCAGGGAATGAAAGATGGTCAGATACTGTATTGTCATAGTTCCAGAATCTGCCTTTCATAACTGCTTCCAAAGTTTTTTGTTTGTGTGTACACACAATTTTTCTTCTGTCTTTATAACATTACCTTCAATGTGTATCAGGCTGAAGAACATCACCCTTGCTCTGAGAAAAATATTCAAAAGAATGACAGAGAGAACAACACTCTCTATGCTGGGTGATATCCTCATTTAATCAAAATGGGGCAACTATTGCAAGTTATTTTTTTCACCTGCATAAGCAGACAGATGTCTTGGTATGAATGACTAGTACATGTGATCGGATTTATGACAAGCCTATGAACAGCAAAACAGGAATCTAGGAGACAATTCTTAAGCCACTTAAATATTTGGCTTTTACAAAAGGCATTCATTGTGCTGACGGTCCTAAAAGTAACTTCCAGGGATCAATCCTTCATGGAATATGTAAAATATGGAATGTCAGCTTGGGGTAAAACACCTCCAGTTTAATCACTACCACGGCAGTTTGCTTTCATTTGATGGCAAAGCATACATTTAATATGACTAGTAAATAGCTAGAGTATAGAGAGGCTCATTCTGATAAAATCTGAGAACTGTAGTTATACGAAGCAAAAAGAGGTTCTTAAACATGTCTAAACAACACAGTACAGCTGCAGTGACACTAAGGATGCAGAATAGGTCTTTTGGGCATGCACCATTCTGGGGTACCCCACTGTGAACAGAACATAAAACCAGATTCACTACTTAGTCTTCAACAAGCAGAAAATGGCTTAGCACTAATGCAGGCAGGCTGCCAGTCCCTCCTAATAGCATCTACATGGAACCATCTCTTAAATTGAAATAGACTGCTCTCACAAATCTTGTTTTACTCTATCAGTATATATCACCTTTCATCACCTCTGCAATTCTGGAACTGTTTCCACATTGTGAGCATAGACATCGAGCCCTGACAGAGCAACCGTCTCCACAGCTTTCAGGTCCCCTCTGAAATCAGGAGTTAAACATTCCACGAGAATTTTGGGATTTCTGAGAAACGAGGGTTGGAAAAAACAAAACAGAAGTGCAGCGTGGTCAGTTGAAAGCTGCATTAACCTTGCCCCAAAAGCAATCCATTTAGTTTTTCTAATATTCACTCCTTACCTTTCTTTTAAGTGCGATACAGTCTTTGCAAAGTGTGCTGCTCCACCATCTGAAACATCTAATAACAAAACATGGCAGTTATTTTACAGGCAGAACAAATATCTACTTTTACATAGCTATAGTGGCGTTGAGGACGCATTTGTGTAAATATTAACTACCAAAATATAGAACAGAGATCTGCACAGCTTACAAATACCTTAGATGAGATTTCTGCATACAGCATAACTAGTTTCTTTTGGGTGTGTGTCTTTTTTGTAAATAATTTTGATTTGACCTTAAGAAGATATAAACATATAACAAAAGCAATTAAAAATTACTCTGAATCTCAGGACACCCCCCATCCCCTCCATGGGTCCTAATGACAAAGTTTACAACTGCATATCAATTGGTTATCCACATTTTTTATCCATCTAAATTGTCCATATTTTTGGTTACTTTACAAGTGTGGTTAAAATCCTGCTAATGTTTTCATCTGCTTACAATGGTCTCCTAAATATATTATACGTTTTCCCCATTCTTTTTTGAAGTCCTCTTGGTTTCTGAGCTTCCCAGATAATTTTGCCATTTTAGCATAGTCCGTCAACTTGGTTTGCCATTCTTCCTTGGTTGGAATGAGCATAACTGTATTTTCAAAAGGAGTCAAAATTAGAAAGTTACTTACCATCTCTGTCCACGGAGGTCAATACAACATAATCCAGCCCCCATTCAGCAATTGCTTTCGCTGTGTTATATGGCTCTTCGGGATCTAATGGAGGGGGACTTCTTGCTGTCTTCACTGAGCAAAAGAGACAGCCTCTTGTACAAGTGTCCCCCATCAGCTGAAACAGGAAACAATTGTTTTTTAAAAATAATAATAATTCAAGAACCTTCTATAACGAATATTAAAGGAATCTCAACAGCTCAGCCAGCAGATGAGAAAGAAATTATTATATAGTCCAGAACTACTCTGAGCAATATATGATACATGGAGCCTGAGACCCACATAACCTCTTGTTTTCTAGAATGGCTAAGTACAAGCAATGCCATGAGACAACAGCCTGGTGAGTGCATCTTTTTAAAACCACAGTTCAAATTAAACTCATTTAACTCAATTTTACAAATTTAACTCAATGTGAATGAACAACATTCTAGCTCCCTCCTCCCCTTCCCCCTCCTTAAGTGTGCCAAGGAAGACACAAGCCAGAGCCTGGCTTGTCTATACATGCATAATTCTGTCCCCCCCTCTCCTAACAAACCACAATGGTACATCAAGGTTTTCTTGTGACTGCAAGCTCGCCTCTGGTTTGTTTCCTCCTCGACGGAGGAGAAAGGGAAGGAGTAACTCATTGTTTTAGCTATGGTTTAGTATTATCTGCTCTCTGAGCACAGACAAAAACAGCAGGAATTTCCCCCAATTTTCATATTAATAGCTTGACACCAATAAGGGCAGGCAGGGAGAGGAAATAAAATCACCTTCATGTTTAAGAATTCCTATCTTGTCCCCTAGATGGGCAACACTGAATGACATTTACTGTGAAATGGTCCTTGCAGCCAGTTCTTATATTAACACAGCAGAAGGGCTGCAGCAGTCAAATACGGTAATTGCACACAGTACCAGTAACTGATTTAAATAGAAAGATCACGTTGTAGGTAAACTGGTTACTCCCCATGCCACCACCACACCACCCTGGGACCACATATTATGGGGTTCAGCCATGCTATATGCACCTCTCCATGTGGTCTGCTTGCTGGAATACCATGAGATGAGACTCCACAGGAGCAACCCAGTCAGATGGGTGGCATATAAATAAAATCATCATCATCCTTTTCCAGATAATGTACAAGGCATCCTTAAGAGCCCTGGTTGCACGACTGCTTTCTAGAATGACAAAAGCAAAGACATGCAGTCCCTCTCACTCCATTTCCTTTATTCTCTGCAAATACCTCTGAGTAATACAGAAATGGAGGCAGTGAGAGATTTTACTTTCTTGGGCTCCATGATCACTGCAGATGGTGACAGCAGTCACGAAATTAAACGACACCTGCTTCTTGGGAGAAAAGCAATGACAAACCTAGACAGCATCTTAAAAAGCAGAGACATCACCTTGCCAACAAAGGTCCGTATAGTTAAAGCTATGGTTTTCCCAGTAGTGATGTATGGAAGTGAGAGCTGGACCATAAAAAAGGCTGATCGCCGAAGAATTGATCGCCTTTCGAATTATGGTGCTGGAGGAGACTCTTGAGAGTCCCATGGACTGCAAGAAGATCAAACCTCTCCATTCTTAAGGAAATCAGCCCTGAGTGCTCACTGGAAGGACAGATCCTGAAGCTGAGGCTCCAATACTTTGGCCACCTCATGAAAAGAGAACACTCCCTGGAAAAGACCCTGATGTTGGGAAAGATGGCAGGCACAAGGAGAAGGGGACGGCAGAAGACAAGATGGTTGGACAGCGTTCTCGAAGCTACGAACATGAGTCTGACCAAACTGCGGGAGGCAGTGGAAGACAGGAGTGCCTGGCGTGCTCTGGTCCATGGGGTCATGAAGAGTCGGACACGACTAAACGACTAAACAACAACAACAATACACAAGACAAATATGGGACAATTTTGATGTGCTGTTTCCAATAAGACCATCAGTTGTCAGTGGTCAGCTTACCATTATAGTCGCTGTAGCAGTAGCATATTTGCCCCCTCCCCAACACTCTCCGATGTTTGGACAACGCGCTTCCTCACACACCTACAGGCAATGAAACAGTTATTAACACTGTAAGAAGGACATAAAGTGCATTGGCTACAAGGAGTCTCACCACTGTAAAGCTAATGATGAGGTAAGTACTACTGTTATAATGAAAATTATTTCACATGGCAATACCCAATGAGGGTATTGCATGTTGGTACAACCCTGGTCTGCTCTCAAGCTGTTCAGGGAGGGTTTCAATGACAAAGAAAACAATGTGATAACATAATGACTACTCCAGTGCAAGCTGCTATTGTAACTCTCTGGAAACAAAAGAAAAGTCATAAACACAACAGCTGGGCTCTAAACCTACGGAAGCAAGTCCACTGCAAAGGAATTTACTTTTAACTAAGTGTGCCTATGATGGGAACTGAAATTGCATAAACAACACTCAACAACACAGTAAATCATCTAGTACAATACAGGCATTAGAATTACCGTGTGGAGATTTAAATTTCTCAACGAATTCTTCAATTTGTTATAATTTTTTCCAATTGGAATCTCAGTTTTCAGCCATGGAGGAAGTCGCAGCCTAAAAAACAAACCAAAAGTCATATTTATTTGGCTTTAGCAGGTAATGTTTGTAAGTCTGAGAAATTAACTGACTTTCGTTCTACTCATTCTAATGAGGTAATTAAGTTGTTTTAAATACCTTTCTCCTTTCTGACGCTTTAATTCGCCTTTATAGTCTGCCCACTTTGTTTTGTCTGAAAGTTCTCCAGACATAAAGTCTTGCAAATCAGGTCCATTTTGCAAAAGTCCCTTCTGTTCCTCTGGCAGTGAGCTTGATGCTCTCAACTGTTTGTGCCGATTGCTTTCACAGGTCTAGGAAAAAGCATATGCACTTTTATTTTCAAACAATGCATTTCCAAATAATTTATTTATTTTTTAAATCAAAAGTTACAACACAGCTTTGTCCTCTGCTATATTTGTGCACTTATTTCCAACTAATGAGGTATAAAAGCCTTATCCAGAAGCTGGAATTTGTAGATCATGGGTTGGAAGGGATCACAAGGGTCATCTAGTCCAACCCACTCACTGTGAAAAGTGAGATTACAGGGAACCTGGCAGAGGGCCTTCTTGGTGGTGGCACCCGCCTTCTGGAACGCCCTCCCACCAGATGTCAAGGAATGAACAACTATCTGACTTTTAGAAGACATCTGAAGGGAGCCCTGTTTAAGGTAAAGGTAAAGGTAAAGATAAAGGGCCATTAGGTCTAGTCGTGACATACTCTGGGGTTGCAGCGCTCATCTCGCTTTACTGGCCGGGTCATGTGGCCAGCATGACTAAGCCGCTTCTGGCGAACCAGAGCAGCGCACGGAAATGAGCGGTACCTATTTATCTACTTGCACTTTGACATTTCGAACTGCTAGGTTGGCAGGAGCAGGGACCGAGCAACGGGAGCTCACCCCATCACGGGGATTCGAACCGCCGATCTTCTGATCGGGAAGTCCTAGGCTCTGTGGTTTAACCTACAGCGCCACCTGTGACTAAACCACTAAACAACAACAATTACTAAGACCAGGGTTCGAATCCCCACTTGGCGGCGAAGCTCGCTGGGGGCGACCTTGCGGGCCAATGACTAATCTCTCCTTCGCCTAGCCGACCTCGCAGGGTTGTTGTGCGAGGAGGGGAACCACGCAAACCGCCTTCCGCTCCTGGGGGGAGGGTTAAAAGTGGCCTATAAATGCCACTAGCAAGTAGATAAATGATAATATTGGGGGCAGGGATTCCCCCAGAGAGAAAGGGCTCCACACCGGCCTATCCCTCCTCCCCCCCATATGCTCACCAGCCTCCCCAGTGACGTCAGCCTCCTCAGGTTCTCCCGGGGGAAGCCTAGGTGGAGCAGAGCCATGTCGTCTCGACCCCGACTCCTTCCTCAGGCTCGATGTACTCGGCGCTCGCCTACCTTCCCCTTCCCTCCTGCTGTTTGGGCTCGGAGACGATTGCTCTCGCCTTCCGGCGCCTTGACGCCCCACCCCGCGAAACGCGCTGGCGTCACGCCGCACGGGGTTCAAGACCGTGGTGACGTACGACGCTCTTCCTTTCCTCCTCTCCGCGAACAAGGAGGTGAGGCCCGGCTTTCTCTTTTCCTTGCGAGGTGAGGGGCGGTATCCGGTTCCATCCGGGGCGCCGCGGCTGCCTCTTGCCCCGAGCGCCCCGCGGAGGCCGCGGGCAGGGCTCAGAGAATGAAACGGGCGTCGCTCCGAGGTTGGGTTCGGCGGGGGCTCCTGAGAGGGAGGCCTTGAAGCAGGCGCCCCCCTTCCCCTCAACGGCTTTGGTCTCTCGCGCGCCCCGGCTTCGTGTGCGCCTGCGTAAACTGATGCCGGGTGAGGCGGGGGGGGTCTCGTTTCTACGGCGCGCCCCTAAGAAGGCTGCTTTCGTGGCAGAGATTATTTCAGCGCAAAATTGCACGGCTGCTTTCTCAACCTTGCTTTTTATGTTGGATTACAACTCCCATCACGCTTCTCCACTGGCTGTGCTGGCTGGGAATTATGGGAGTTGTAGTTCAACGTGGTCTAGGGACCCAAGGCCAAGAAAGGCTGCAGGCTCTCTGCTTCAGCAGCATTACTTTAAGGTTTCCCAGAGCTGAAAGTGCCGGTTTTGCTTCCTGCCTTCTGCAATAATATATAGTGGGGTTTTTTTGTCATGCCAAGGAGTTCTCGCTAGGCCTAGGAAAAGTTTAAGCCAGGGTGGCTGTCTGGATGTTGCTGCACTTCTCATTATTATCTCTTGCCATTGGACATGCTAGTAACATTGGAGTGCCACAGGTTAGCCACCCCTGGTATAAGCACTGTGTGAAGAGGAGCATGCTTTTTATATGGCCTTTGAGATTGGTAATAGGAGTGGGAAGTGATGGTGGCAGGGGGAAGTATTGGTTAAAGCAGAGCTTTCCAAGCACTGTCTCGACAAATTAGTGTGTTAGCTGCAGCGTGTTGGTGTGTCGCACGAACGCTCCCTGCACTCATCCCGGGGATGGAAAGGGGTTGGCTTAACCTCCAGTTTGCTAGTAAAACTGAATTACATTGTCACAAAATGATGCATGTCTAAAAAGTGTGAAACCAGCGTGAAAAGTTTGGAAAGCTCTGGGTTAAATCTTTTGCGGGGCCAATGCAGTTGATCATAATAGTTTTAGTAATATTTCTCCGTTTTGGGGGTGCTCTGTGGCAGTTTGTTTCCTGGGGTAAAATTCTAAAAGAACCTAAACAACTTCAATCCAAAGCTCAACAACTTCGGGGTAAAAATCCTAACAACTTTGGTTGGCCCTCACAGCCCTTCACTTCATCAAATTTGTCCCTCTTTGAAAAAAGTTTGGACACCACTGATCTAAATTGATGTTAAAGCCACAACACAAGGGTGTTGCAAAGGGTGTGGTCCAGGTGATATCAGTATCATGTTAACCCTGAAGTTTTTCATTTTGCTTTTCCTGTTAGATTTAAAATGAAGACCATTCTCAGTAACCAGACGGTCGACATCCCAGAAAAAGGTATGTGCATCCACTTGGATGTTTTTACTTTTGGTACTACCTCACACACACCCCAATACCCCAAAATCTTTAATGTTCTTATCACTTGAAGTTGCTGTATGTTGTGCTAATGTTTAATTATCTTCATCCAGTCGAGGTTCGTTTGAAGGGACGGACAGTTATTGTCAAGGGCCCCAGAGGAACCCTGCGAAGGGACTTTAATCATATCAATGTGGAACTCTCTCTCTTGGGAAAGAAACGCAAGAAGGTGAGCAATTTGTGGGTGTTGTGAGCGGTACTGTATATCATGTTTCTGCTGACAAGGGAAGCTGTTGGCCCTCTGCAATGTTTTCAGATTCCATGTTAGCTTTGTATTCTCAGTAATGGTTGCTGGGTTCTATGGCTAGAATTTCACGTTTGCTGGTAGATGTGTCAGTTTGTGAAGCACTGCACCAAGGGGGCAGTTGGCTGTGGAAAACCAGTAGGTAGGAGGAGGGACTTAATCCTTTCCTTTCCAATTTTTTTCTTTACAAACTTCATCTCCAAGCTGCTTTTCTTTGGGAGAGTTGCACAGGGAAAGTGGCAGGCAGAAAGGCTTAGTATCTGTTTACTGTTTTTCAGTGCTTTGGAGCAGACCTGTGTACTGTAAAACATGTAATCTTAACTTTTTAAAAGTGAAACATGCACTTATTTAAGATCCATACGTACTTATTTACAGAAGTTTCTAAGCAGTATATGGAGACAAAGGATACTTTTGGGTGTTTTTTCTGATAAATGAACCGCTTGCATATGATGTTTCAAGTGTGAGATTTCCAGAGGACGTTGTTGCATCCTACAGCACAGCCAGTCAGTCTGCAAGAAAAATGAGTCCCCTGTTTTTTGTTTCAGGTGTAAAAATGCATGTGGCTGATTCATGTTAAAATAAACTATGATGATAGGCAGTGGATTAGATCAAGACATTTGGTGCTATTAGAGCTATTAATTAATAAATTGAAGCAATGCTAACACATGCCAACTGGTTCCCAATCTCTGTGAATTGTTGTGTTTTAATTAAGAATAATTTGGAGCCCTGAGTTAGCCTTTCTTCTATTAGCAAATGTCAAAGGTATTTTGTCTTTGCTTTATTGTTCACTGAATTTTAGTTTTCATTGTAATTAACAGGACATGGCTCTTGGCAGTGAATATGCACCATTCACTTTTCAGAATGTTAAAATATTTCTGTATTACTCCCATTATATGGGAGGCAAAGTGTACTGACAGTAGTCCACTTGTACTCCAAATGTGAGTCCTGACATAGCCAAAACAGTAGCTCCATACACGAGAGGGACCTATGGCAGCAACTCCAAAGTTTGCAGTACAGTTGTACCTTGGAAGTCGAACGGAATCCATTCCGGAAGTCCATTTGAACATTCGGACACCAAAGTGCAGCTTCTGATTGGCTGCAGAAAGCTCCTGCAGCCAATCAGAAGCCCCATCGGACGTTCAGCTTCCAAAAATAGTTTGCAAACTGTAACCGTCACTTCCGGGTTTGTGACGTTAGGGAACAGCTGTTCGAAAACCAAGGTACGACTAGTTTTCTATGGGGGGGGGGAGAGCCTCAGAGGCTGGGTACCAATGAGGATCCAGTGGTCAAAGAGGCGGTTACTGCATGTGCTGTAGAGGGAAATGGGGCAGGTGGAGCTCATCAACCTAGGAAGGTACCTATCTAGGAGAAGGAACAGCCTGGCCCTTAACCTCCACTGTCTTGCGGCTTTCATGAGAATGGTTTCAGGAGTGAAAACAACGTGAGAGGCAGCAGTTACGAGTTACTGCTCTCCACAGCCACAACAAGCACTGTGATTCTCCAGTGGTTTGACTTCACCCCTGTAGGTACACTCCATTGCCTCTTGAGACATACAGATGCCAACAACAACAGTTAGGGAAAAAGGTGGCGGCGGTGGAAATTTAATACAGTGGTGCCTCGCAAGACGAAAAGAATCCGTTCCGCGATTCTTTTCTTCTAGCGGTTTTTTCGTCTTGCGAAGCAACCCCATTGGCGGCTAAGCGGATTAGTGCTATTAGCGATTTAGCGCTATTAGCGGCTTAGCAGCTAAGCTGTTAAAAGGCTATTAACAGCTTAGCGGCTTTGGAAAAGGGGGGGAAGCGGGGGGGAAATGGCGAGACTCGCAAGACGTTTTCGTCTTGTGAAGCAAGCCCATAGGGAACTTCGTCTTGCGAAGCGCCTCCGCGACGGAAAACCCTTGCATCTTGCGAGACATTCGTCTTGCGGGGCACCACTGTATTCTAGAAAGACTATATCACTGTTAGTCTAGAATCCTGAACAGGAGCACTCCACACTGCAATATTTTGTATAGCTGACTACACAGTTGAATAAAGGCAGTCATTGAGGTATATGACTTGCTGCTCTCTATAATTTTTTTAAAGAAACTCTGAACTGGTTCACATAAGATGAGTTCTCCCCGTAATTAGTCGTGACCATCCCTGGGCATTCATTCCTACAGATACTATAATGTGTGAACCGAGTAAATACAGTTAAATATTAAATACAGCTGCTGTTAAAGTGCTGGGTGTTGCATCAGATGAAGGTAATTATATGAAGCAGTTAATGTCTTGTGTGAACTTGGCCTCAGTTTCTCTAAAGTAGCAGCACTTCCTTTAAAACTGTATGTGTGTGTTGCTGATACAAGAAACACATGTAGCAATGTTGACTTGGCAGATGAGGATAGCAGTACTACTTGATCATTTGATAAATACCATTATATAGAAATTGGAAATAATCATATTTGCTGGTGTGGAAATTCATTAATCTAATAAAACTTAATTCTTGTAATGTTTACATGGAAAACTTGTTTTATACTTGGAAATGAGCAGCCTGTTTTTATACACTACGTTGTTTTTTTCATTTCCGTAGCTGCGTGTTGACAAATGGTGGGGTAACAGAAAGGAGCTGGCAACCGTCCGCACAATTTGCAGTCACGTGCAAAATATGATCAAGGGTGTCACATTGGTAAGTTTCCAGTGGGAATTTGCTATTAAGTGTTGATATAGCCAACTTCATCTTTGCAGCTACACTACAGAGTGGCTGGGGAAACCCAGCCAGATGGACGGGGTATAAATAAATTATTGTTGTTGTTGTTATTTATTAACATACTATTTGTAGCATAAAGTGCTTTAAGAGTCAGTTTGGACAAAAGTTTCTCCTTTCCCCCTGTTTGTTTGATTTTAAATGTGTATGATTCCAGGGCTTTCGTTACAAGATGAGGTCAGTGTACGCTCACTTCCCCATCAATGTGGTTATCCAGGAGAATGGCTCACTTGTGGAAATCCGTAACTTTCTTGGGGAGAAGTACATCCGTCGGGTGCGCATGAGGCCAGGTAAGGAGCTAGTTACTGTGGCAATATCTGTTACCAAGATTGATATAAGAATTGGGTAGTGG